GTTGAAATAAATTCTAATATTGGCAAAAATAAAACATATTGCCAATATTTCTTTACTTGAGCAACTTAAATGGAAGTTACACCAGGAAAATTGGGTTTGAAGGGAAAATCAAATATATTGTTTGAATTGCCTGTTAGATGCCCATGTGGAAATTTAAGTAGAGTATATGGGGAGAAGGCAGGATTTGGGAGGCTCATCTCATACAATTTATCCCAATGGAACGGCTGACTTTTTCTAGAGAAAATGTAGATACACAAAAGATAGCCAAGGATTAAGAAAAGAGGACAAGCCGGGCGGTGGTGGCGCACGCCTTTAATCCCAGCACTCGGGAGGCAGAGCCAGGCGGATCTCTGTGAGTTCGAGGCCAGCCTGGGCTACCAAGTGAGTTCCAGGACAGGCGCAAAGCTACACAGAGAAACCCTGTCTCGAAAAACCAAAAAAAAAAAAAAAAAAGAAAAGAGGACAATTCTCAAAGTCTAGAAGAAAGAGACCCAACAGAAGATAAAAGGAGAAAAAAAAATGTCCTTCCAAAGAGGAATGAGTGGATCGCATGAAGGTTGTTGACTGTTTAAGTGTGCATTAATTAGATTGTCAACAAGGAGATCTTAGCAAGAGTCTCAGTGGAGCATGTGAATGAAAGTCCACTGAGTGTATTCAAAAGAGAAAGGGCAGAGAGGAAACAACAACGCAAATGCAGTTTTTCTGCTTAACTGTGACAGAGTAGAGAGGAGACTGGAGAAGATTAGGTCTCTTTTTTTAAGATGGGAGACATTATACAATTTTTATGCTAATAGAACCAATATAATAGAGAATAAAGACATACTGTAAAGTATACATAAAGACTATACATAAAGACTATAATAATAAGTAAGACAGACACAGTCCCTGCCCTTTAGAAACCAGCAAGTCACAAAGAAAGTTATTGCAGATTGTGATATATTCTTCTAGGGAAACTTTACCTTAAGTATAAGAAATACTGGCATGAATTCCTTACTTGAATTCCATTAGATTCATACAAAGTTCATATAATGGCACATTTCTATGATAAAGTTTTCAACAAATATTTTTCAAACATTTAAAATCCTTGTTATGTGCCTGTTAGCTTTGCTAAAAGATGGAAACACAGTAGATAATAATGTTGTTTGAATCTTAGATGGTCTTTTAATAACAAAAAAACAAAACAAAACAAAAACCCAGAGCTAGATATCAGGGTGAAAGCTGAAAGATCAGAGAAGCAGAACAGCCAGCTACTAGTTCTTACCTCTACAAAACCTCAACCTAAAGAGAGTGAGTTCCTGTTTCCTCACACCTTATATACCTTTCTCTGCCCTGCCATATTACTTCCTGGGATTAATGTGAGATCTCAAGTGCTTGGATTAAAGGTGTGTGCCAACACTGCCTGACCTCTATGTCTAATCTAGTGGTTGGCTCTGTCCTCTGATCCTCAGGCAAGTTTATTAGGGTATGCAATATATCACCACACAATAATATATAATTTCTGTATTTATGGATCTTAGAACATATGGAAAAATAGATCTGATAGGTCACTACATGCTCTCACAAGCTTAGATAAATGCTATGATGCAGATATCTCCAGAAAAAGCTGATTTAATTAAATCTATCAACCAGTCTATGTTGCACAAAATAGGAAACACAAACAAGTTAGTACAAACAAAAGAATGAAATTTATTAGTGTTCATAACTAGACCTAAAAGTAGATGAACAGTTCGGGCACAGATTTCTTCAGGTGCTACCACAGTGAAAATATTCAGCTGTTTTGATAATGCTGGAAAGTGCTCTACAGATCCCCAAGGGAGAAAAGACACCATGATCTTATCCAGCACTGGATCCTGCATACTATAACGACATGCCTGTAAGATGGGCCCACTGACACAACAGTAGTGTGACAGTTATGCGGGTAACCAACTACTTTATGATTGGGTTTAAAGCCTGCTCCATAGGAAAATTTAAAGACTGCACAGAGAAAACCAGACATTTAGAAGAAATGGGAGCAGTGAGATTAAAACCCATGGGGTAAAATTTTTGAGAGGTCGTTCCTTCCAGGAGACCTTGAAAAGGAATATTTTACCATCTTCAATATTGGTACTGGGAGAAACTTGACAGGATGAGAATTCAAAATACCCTTTAAAATAGCATCAAGGAGGACAGGCATGATGACAAACACCTTTAATCCCAGCACCCAGGAAGCACAGGCGGGTTGATCTCTGCAAGTTTGAGGCCAGCCTAGTCTACATAGGGAATTCTAAGTTATCCAGGGTTACTGGTGACACTGTGAGAGAGAGAGAGAGAGAGAGAGAGAGAGAGAGAGAGAGAGAGAGAGAGAGAGATTGCTGGGGTTGGGTAATAAAATGCCTGAATGTAAATATATGAAGAACAATGGGTCAGCTAAAAGAACATCAAAGAAAGATTTAAAAAGCAAGAGGGCTTAACATTTCTAAATGTAGGCTAGAAAGTAAAAAATGAATAGAGAAGCTGAAAATAACTTTTTTCTGGAGTCTGGTCATCACATCCTTTATACTGTAGAAAGACACAATGCTATGTACACAATAGGAATTAAGGAAACTATCCCTCAGGTGAAAATTTGCCCATTCCAGTTAAAAGTAGAAGTGACATTATATACCTCCCATAGATTTTTAAAATTTAAATGTGTGTGTGTGTGTGTGTGTGTGTGTGTGTAAGCCATGTGTGTGCAGGTGCCTGTGGAGGCCAAAGAGTGTGTCAGGTCCTCTGGGACTTGAACTGTCTGACGTGGGTGCTGGGTACTGAGATATCTATTCAGCCTCTTAACTAGGTTTTTCAAATAGAAGCCTGAGATGATTTTCTATGGGGTATAATTTGAATGTATTTTAAATTAATGAAATTTAGTATAATTAGTTATAGGATGAGGCAAAGTGGTCCAGGTTCTTTTAGTGCTGGGGATAGAACTGAGGGCCTTTCATTTTCCAGGCAAGTACTCTGCCTCTGAGCTATATCCATCACCAGCCCTTTCATATTTTTTCTTTTGATAAGGTGCTTAGGCTGATCTGGAACTCTCAATCATTATACCTCAGCCTCCTCAGTAGCTGGGATTAGAGGTATGCCACTGTACTGAGCTAGTCTTTATAAAATCATGGGAAACATGAAGAAAAACGTGGAGACCTTCTCTTTCCAGAAAGAAATGACATCCTTTTTCATGTTCTTTCAGGAAGGGATAATGAAAGATGAAGGTGTGCCCACAGGTCTAAGATTGAATCCACCCTTCTCCTGAGATGTAAAAACAAGAATCTTCTCTGGACCTCTCATGACTGCCAGCCACAGGCCCCTCTGTCTCCCTCCTCTTAACTTAGTGAAGGTCATGTCCTCCACTCCCAAACCTTGAACATCAGTTCCAACTTTCTCTTCCCTCTCACCTTTCCCTGGGCTTCTCCTGAAAATGGGAGATCCTGGGCTCACACTACACTGCCTCCTAAACCTAGCACCCACCACTTCTAAACTATATAACCTGATAAAGGACTAACCTCCAGAGATAGCTCTGTTTTCCTTATTAGCAATATAAAGCAGTCAAATATGTATGTCCTCTAATCCTCCCAGTCCCAATCCACAAGTCAGGTGACAATGTTTCTACAGGAACCTATCATCGGATTAGAAAGCACCAAGTAATTCACTCTTTTTCTTGGATTAAACTGTGAAGGCAAGGAATAGACCTTGTCTCAGTCCTCATTCCCCTACTGTTTACCATATTTCTGCTTCTGAAACCACCACAAGAGTTGCTGACTTAGTTGAACAGTGATCTGGAAAACAAGTCTGAAATTGTTGCATCCTCCATCACTAACATTCTCTTCTGTATTTTCATAGTTCACCTCCAGATGAAGTCAGAGTAAAAAAAATAGCTTCGCTAGTGGCTTAGATCTTGTCAAATCATTTACAAGGATGTTTTCATAGGACTTCTATTTCAAAAGAAATATCGGATGGTTATTAAACCTCAGATTAAATAGAAGACTTTATGCCTTTCCTTGCTATGGGAGCAACTTTGAAACGTTGGTTCTTGCTTTTATATGTAGCCTTAGTCACAACATCAGGGTCAAAATCTCACCACGTTACACAAGCATACTCTGTTCACTGACAACAGGGTTGTTGTTTTCTTAGGATGGGCACTGTCCAGATGCCGCAAGTTAGACTATGAAAACACTAAAGCAAGCATAATCATAGTCCTATAGATAGTGTTGAAGCTACTTTGGAGATGAGGTAACATATTAAATACTTAGTGTATGATTGACTGTACACATTATATATTCCTGCTTCAGCAATTTTTGAGTGTAGAGTTTCTTTTAGTCAGACCTGGAATTAGGTCTCTCACTCATGTGGTTTCAATTAAGTTCTGTTAAAAATAGCTTGTAATATAATCATTTTCATTTTTAGCACTTCAACAACTTTACTACTTTTGATCCGTACAAAGGACAGATCTGGGGACAAAAACAAAGGAAATTATACAGTGCCCTCATGAGAACTCATTATGAGCAGAAAACTACCTATATTTTAGTGCATGGCCTTCTTTTTTAATTAAAAAAATGTATTTATATTTTATGTATGAGTGCTCTGCATGTATACCTGCCTGACAGAAGAGGGCATCAGATCCTATTATAGATGGTTGTGAGCCACTATGTGGTTGCTGGGAATTGAACTCAGGACCTTTGGAAGAGTGGTCAGTGCTCTTAACTACTGAGCCACCTCTCCAGGCCACAAGGTCTTCTAATAACACCTAGTTGGTTATTAGTCCATATTTTAAAGTACAAATACATGTATATGAAGCATATGAGAGAATTTCTCTTTTCTTAACCGACTGAAGAAAATGACAAGAACATTAATGAGATTTCCACACAGTTTATCACAAATAATAAGAGAACTTTTCATTTTGTATCATTTCAGGCAGACATTCTGCTTATTTGGACTTTTTACTTTACACTCACATCTTCAATGCAGTGAAAATTCAGCCACGGCTGTTATGTTCTGCCATTCGTCTTCATTATAATATCTAGAGAAAATGTAACACATTATTTTGTACAGAAGCAAGTGTCCAGCAGTTACTAATAACCAATTCCCAAGGGTAAGAGCACCCACTGCCTGCATCACACCCACCCCTTCCTGAAAGTTCTTTCTGGAGACACAGAGACCTGCTCAGTAACATTCTAGAGGAGAGCCTGACAAGAACGGACAATGGTCTCTGTGGATCTCAGTCTCACCTTGTAGCCTGGAGGAACTCTGTCCCTGCGCTTTGTGTCCTTGTTCCCTGCTCAGGTTCAGCTCAGACAGCACCTCACATTCTCTCCATTACTATTCCTTTGCATTCCCCTTCTCCTGGCTGCAGTTGAACCCACTTTCTTACCAAATACGGCACTATTGGGGCTTTCCTCTCAGGGCTTACACCAGGAGATCCAGAAGGGAGACTACATCTTAACCAAGTTCCCATTGTCACATTTTCATTTCGATATATCTCACCCCCTATCCTATTATACCAGGTGGTTTGGTAATTTTGTTGCACCTCAGAAAACCTTGCTATCTATCACAGTCCTGCCTCCAAGACAATTAGAATCTCCAAGTAAGGGACCTAAATATCAGACAACCAGGAAAGTGATGTACAGTTAAGTTAATTTGCTACTCAAAGTGGAGTCCCATCTGGGGATCCGTAATAGCAGCAGCATCTAACAGTAGTCTCAAGCCTCTGTTAGAAACGAGGGTCCTTTGGTACCATTCTAAGGGTGCTGTAGCAAAAGCTCTATCTTAACATAATCTCCAAGTGGTTCACAAATCATTAGTTGGGGAAGCCAACTTTACTACATCTCACTGCTCCTTGTGTTGGACGTACTAACCTTAGATGTCATCTACTCACGAAAGACTGAAGACTTCTCTGTAATTACACCCAACCACCACCCCACCCCACCACCACCAGCTTCTAGGTAATTTCCCAGCCTCACCTTCACTTCACCTTTGCAGACTTCATATGCACCTTCAGGGATATGACCTTTATTTTCCCAGTCATAAACTATGACGCCTCACTTCTGGAACTTGAAATTACTAGAGATCTGGGCATTATCTTCCGATCATCCTTTCTTACTACCCACACAAGCAACTGGTTAGTTACTAAGTTAACTGTTCAGACTGGTTCTCAGAATTCCTGAGTCAGACTTCAGAGGTAATAACCTGAGAATTCTTATTATTAATAAACATCAAAGCATACTTTGAGATACGCTAGTTCAGGTCTTTATTTTCCCAACTCTGTTCATATGGACTTTGACAAAGGTCACACCCAGCCTTTTTACTTTTAGCACACTTCTTTCCAAATCCAAACCTTCTTGACAGAATGATCAAGTAAAAGGTAACTTTGACTAGAATAAGATAAAAGGTGAGCATGACCTCAGAGGTTCTCCACCATCTACCTCCCAAAACAAGTTAACATTTTTTGAAAGTCCAGTCTCCAAGTGAGGCAAGCATAACTAATTTCAGTTCTTTGACAGAACATTAGGTCTCTATGCTTACATTTATACTGATACTTCTTTCTAGAGGGCCTATACCCAAGATTCTCCATGGGCCTTAGATCATCCACCAGAGGAATTCCACCTGCCCTGTGTACCCTAATAGAATCATATATACATTTCTACTAAAGCACATATGCCTCCCTCAGAGTTGTTTTAGCTATCTAATATCTTCTATCAGATTATTAACGAACCAAAGGAGGTAACTATATAAACTTCAGCAACTAACAATCTAGAGCATGACATTCAGATTCCAAAAGCATTTCCCAAACGACTCAGTCAACTACAGAACCTCCATATTTATAGATAACAGGCTTGAGAATTCTTCACGTTGTCAAAATATGTTGATTTCTTTTCCTCTAAAGTACTGACTTCACCCCTGTAGTTAAAGTAGTAAATATGTCTGTCTGCGACTATATACACTTACTGGATAACTTCTTCACATGATAGCATAATGAAATTTACCATCAAATACAGCCAACTGCACATATATTTTAGACTTTTTGCAATTTAATCAAAACCAAGGAAAGGTTTTTAAATGAGAGATTTCAGCTAAACTTGAGCAATTAATCAAACATCTAAAGGCAAATCATCACTGCACACTGGATGATTTCTTTTTGTAGTTCTGGGAATTGAACCCAGGGTCTCACATATACCAGGCAAGTGTTCTACACTGAGCTATATTCTCAGGCCTCATAATGAGTGATTATCATATTCCAGATACTTTACATAGCTTACCTGTAAGCCTCACAATTCCTTGAGGTAACAACTATTTAACCAGTTTTACAGAGAGCATACTAAAATCCATAGGCTTCTAAGGAATTTGTTCATGTGTCAGAATTTGAATATAGGAATGTACCATTATCCAATGACTTCTATTACCATCTCTCTGATACTTACAAAGAATTATTTCCACCTCATCTGTTGTGTGTCTGTGTGCTATTTCTACCTGATATCATTATCTAATATAAAATCTCAAGCTTCTCCCCAAGAGAGAAAGAGAAGGGTAGTACCATTGTCTATGATTATATGGTTATATGAGTAAAGACTGAAAGTATCCTCTTTTAGGTTCATATAGTTCAGAGATCTAGTTCTGATTTGGCCAGTAATTATCTGTGTAAACTAGGACAAAAATCACTTATCAATCTGGTAAAGTAATTTTGTCATTTGTAGAATGAAAAAGATAGAAAACGACATGACTCTCGAATTTTAGTGTTTACTGTAATCACCTAGAAAGTTTAACACGGTTCAGATTCCTCTGCCTCTTCTCAAGCACCTGTAACTTACCAGGTTTTCAGCTGTCCTGGTAGTTAGAAGACCACAACTGAGAAGTGTTGAACTAGACATTTCCTAAGGCCCCTTCTACCTAGTGGTCACCATTTTCAGAGCCTACTTACCACTCTGTGTTCCCTAACATATTATTTTTTGTTGTTGTTGTTGTTTTCTTGAACCAAATTTTTTCTTTAATCAACATAGTACTAGTTGCTTTTCAGTCATACTGAACAGGGCCCAAACTATCAAAATGAACTTTACACTGTAGCCCTGATTAGATTACTGCCAAACTAGCTAAAACTTTAAATGCCAATGCTAAGAATAGGCTGTTGAATATATTTTAAATAACAAGATCACAAGTTAGCTCGGTGCTTTGCTATTTTTAATAAACTAAAGGCAGACACAAGCAGCCAGAGGTCAAAGGGCAATCACTTAGGTGAGGAGGCTGCTCTTAGTTAAGGTAAGAGCCTAGAAATAAGCCAGGAGATGGCAGCATCAGCTCAACATTCATTAAGGACTCTCTAAATTAAATTGCCAGCTATGAACAATTGATTCTCCCAGGCTCATTTTGGTTTGGATTTGTTACTTAATCCCCAAATTTTGACAATATCTGATGTCATAAACTAATATGACAGACATATAAAGGATTAATAGTTTTCCTATTTTTATTAATAAAGTTTTTATTAACATACATATACACAAAAAGTACACTTATGTACAGCTTGAGGGTTTTTCACAAATGTAACACACTAGTGTAACTAGCACGTAGAATTACCTGTAACAACTTCTTTAGTTAATACCTTCACTCCAATGAGGGCATTCATTCCCAATACCTTTAGAGTTTAGTTTACCTGGTTTATGCTACACACTTATAAATATTAAATACATTTCTTAAGGGTATCTAATACCTTATGTGAAGTTTATTAATATAACCCAACACAACAGTTTTGTCTAACTATATATTATTTGATTATTACTATGTAGCACTTGAATGAATATACTACAGTTTACTTACCTATTTTAATTCATGTGCATCTGGCTAGATTCTGGTTTGGAGCTATCATGACCAGTGAATATTCTAGTATATATTCTGGATTTTTTAGACAGGTCATGTTACCCTAGCTGTCCTGAAACTTGCTACATAGAGCAGGTTGGCCTCAAATGCCCAGATATCCATCTACCTGCCTCTTTAAAGTGCTAGAGTTAAATATGTGCACCACTATACTTGGCTCTAGTCTCTATCTTTTGATGAACATACATAGACATTATTATTATTATTATTATTATTATTATTATTATTATTATTTTGGTTTTTCGAGACAGGGTTTCTCTGTGTAGTTTTGGAGCCTGTCCTGGACTAGCTCTGTAGACCAGGCTGGCCTTGAACTCACAGAGATCTGCCTGCCTCTGCCTTCTGAGTGCTGGGATTAAAGGCATGCACCACCACCGCCTGGCCATAGACATCATTATTACACAAGCATATTCCTAGAAGTGGAACTGTTGGGTTGCTAAGGGTTTTCTATCTCAAGACTCCTAGGGGTCCTGTACTGTGAATGGTAACTCCTAAAATAAGGCATAGTTGTATCTGGGCCCTCCTAGAACTGGAAAAGGCACACTCCTTCATGGGCCCTTATGGATTTTGCTGTCAACATGTATCTGATTTGTGTGTGATACTATAGCCCATTTACCAAGTGACCTAAAAGAATTACTAGATTCAACACGAGGCTCAGAACAATAGGCTCCACAACAGATCCAAACTATGTTGCAAGATGCTCGACCACTTACACTTACATGGTCCAGTAAATCCAGTGGTGCTTTAAGTGTCCCTGGCAGACAGAGATGCTATCTGGATCTTTTGGTAGGACCTCAGAGTTGAACAGTATGGCCCTTAGAATTTCAAAGCCAAGTTCAACTACCACACAGTGGATAAATACTTAAACATGGAAGAACAGCATTTCGCTTGTGAATGGGCCTTAACACTGGGCTACTGTGTTACTGAGCTACCGTAGAGAAGACCAGGTCTTCATTGCCCAATGAAACTGATATATATATATATATTACACTCAAGCATGCACTAACGGCACAAGTAGGTCACATGAAGAACTGATCCAAGTGCCACAGCTCCTACTTGAACTACTTTATCTTCTCTCATCCAGTCTACACTTAAGAGGTCATGGGGAGTGCTCTACAGTTGGCTGGCCAGGAAAAAGAAAGATCAGATCTGGTCTACAGATTGATCAGCCCCTCTGATACACCTCAGGAGAAAAAAAAAAAACAGTAAGAGAAATCTTCTTCCCCAGGGCAGGACTTTGAGTGGTGTACCTGGTTGTTTGCTTTGCTGGAAGGAGGAATGATCCAATGTTGGATGTATACCAATTCATAGGTGGTAACCAATGATTTGGATGGATGGTTGAGACTTGGAAGAATACAATTAGAAAAACAGATGAAAAGGAAATATGAGAAGAGGCATTATATAAAATTCTCTAAATGGGCAAAAACCATGAAACTATTTGTATGACATACACATATGCACCAAAGGGTGACCTCAGCAGAGCAGAAGTTTTAATAATTAAGTGGATAGGATAATCAATGCTGTGGATACCAGTCAGTCTCTTTCCCTAGCAACCTCTATCAGAACAAGGTTGGAGAAAGGAAGGAAACTGATTAGTAGCCTCTCTGTCCTTGTACATAAAGTAATGAGGTAGCAGGGAGCACAGGCTCATCAACACGGACCTAGCTGGCACTGGTATAGTAGTACAGCTTGAAGTGCTCAGTCAGCAATGTGGCAGCAGGTTGATGACACTACAACTTTTATCGTGCACAAGGTAATGTTTTCTCCTTACAGGGTGAACACTACGAATGTGGATGGATATGCCTTTTTTACATATAACACTTCCGTGAAAGCTGCTACACATGAATCTATGGGCTACTTTACACAGTGATAGTGGTGTCATGGTGCTATGGTTTGGATGTCCCTCATGGGTTCCTGTATTTCAATGCTTGGTCCCCAGCTGGTGGTACTATTTTGAAAAGTTGTAACACTTATAGGAAATGGAAACTTCATGGAGGAACTGGGTAGTTAGGGGCTGGCCTTGAGGTTTTATAGCTCAGGCTTACATCCTGTCCACTCTCTGCTACCTCACGTCAAACACAATGTGACCAGCTGTCCCGTGCCCTTGCCACCATGCTTTCTGGACTATAATTGACTGCATTTCTTAAACACTGAGCCAGAACAAACTCCTCCCCCCTAAGTTGCTTTGTGTCAGGTATTTGGTCACAGCTAGAAAAGTAACTCCTACAGAACAGTGGGTACCAGAGGTGAGGTCACTGCTGTGATAAATGTGACCATGCAGTTCTTGGGCATTTGGAACTGTTTTGTGGGAGGAATGTAGAGGAATCTGGAGCTGGGGGTTAAAGAATATGTAAGCAGAGATTAATTGGCCATTCTAGTGGGTGTTTAGAAAACTCCAGAGAATGTGAAAAGAAATGCAGACAGCGACAGTCCAACTCATAAACGCTCAGAAGGGAACCAGCTCTATCTGGAACTGGGTTACAGGCCATTTGTGTTACATTCTGACAAAAAAAATCGGGCTATCTTTTGCCCATGTCCTGGAAACCTGAGTGAGGTTGAATTAATAACTAACAGACTCATTGGTTCAGCAGAAGAAATTTCAGGACACGATAGCTCTGAGCATTCATGGCTACTGCTCCTTGTTCTTCCTGGCTGAGAGTCATACCACTGGCACCTCTGGTTCTCAAACCTTTGCATTTTGACTTAACTATGCGACTGGCATCTCTGGTTCTCCAGGAGGTAGATGGCATGTCACAGAACTTCGGAACTTTCATAATCATGTGACTAATTCTTGTATTCAGTCTCCTCTCATATAAAAATTCCCCATCTATCTATCTATCTATCTATCTATCTATCCATCTATAACATATGTATTTATATATTTGAGCACAAGAGACACTGGGAAAGGTTCTTTATCTTTATTTCACCACACTCTCTAAAAAGAACCTCTCCCAGAAGTACTAAACAGTGTGTGAGTGTTTGAGGGTATGTATGGAGAGACAGATATCTATTGATACTTGTTCTGTTACTCTGAGCAACCCTCAGTAATATAATCATTAGGTATAAAATGAGTAGTACTGACTTAGGCAATCAGGAAGATATTTAAAAAGAGAAATTTTATGAACTTGTAGAGTACTCAGAGAAGACACTGGGAAAAGGGAGGACAAAAGTCAAGAGTGAACAGCTTGCATGAGTATATACATAATATACTAAATATCAGCTGTTTCATTGACCACTCACTCATGAGAGGTTCCTCAGCTCTACTATAGAATTAGAAAAAAATACTTATTTTGATTTTAGAATCCTTGAATGATTGAATTTGCCTCAGCCACTTGGTAATATCTACCATTTAAAATCTCATACTCTTAGCATGGTGGTGCACACCTTTAATCCCAGCACCCGGGAAGCAGAGGCAGGCACTGTGAGTTCAAGGCCAGCCTGTTCTACAGAGTGAGGACAGCTAGGGGTATTACACAGAGAAACCCTGCCTTGAAAAACAAAAACAACAAACAAACAAACAAACAAACAAAACCCCTCCTACTTTTTAAATGTGTAAAAGTGGAGGAACAGTACCCAATTCTATCTACTATAATAATGGTGAGGAATTGAGATGTTAAGATTCTTAGCACAGTGCCTTGCACAGAAGTACTCAACCAATAACAGGTGAATAAAAAAAATTCTCCAGCTTAAAAAAGAAGACAACTAAAGTAAAATTCAAACAGTAGAAATTTCAAATTGTTGAAGAAGAAGCATCCTAGATAAACACATTTAAGTCAATGTCATAAGCTAAGTTTTCTAAAGATGAAGTATGCATCCTCAAAAAGTTATTACTCAAGTTTATGATATCTGTTCAGGTTTTTGTAATTTTCTCTTTTCAATTTTATGCAAAAGCTTGAGAATACAAGTTATAAATGAATTTACTGTGTACACAAAGTATTTATTGTTAAAACCACATTCCATATAATATGAAAACTATGCTGAGCTCATACCTGGAGGAACATCTTTAGGAGGAGAACAGTTTTTGTTTACAGTGGCATGTTTACTTCTAATCTGTCTAGTTCCTGGTGATGCCTTAATAATACAACAGAGCTCTGATGCATATGAAGGAAACTGAAAAGAAAAGAGTAGTTATTGCATAATTCCTCCAGGTACCACATTTAATGGAGTCTTCCTGAAAATAAAAGTAGTTTCAGTATTCTTGGTTAGAATGATAGAACCATATTGGAAAACAATAAGAAACATTCAGACAAACAAAGATATGCACCATGTCCAAGGGATGGTTTAATAATGGTGTTAGTTTTGAAAACTAAAAAGAGGTGATGAATTATTTTAGTTATTTTCCTATTGTGAGAAAACACAATGACCAAAGCAACTTATAAAAAGAAAGGTTTTAATTTGGCTTATGGCAACAGGAGTAGCTGGGGGCACACATCTCAAACCATAAGCAGTTGGCAGAGAAAGCAATAGGCATGATACATGCCTTTCAAAACCTCAAAGCTCGGACAGGGGAATCCATGGTTGATATGTAAAACAAATAGAAAAATCTCTTAATAAAAAGAAAAGGAAAAAAAAAAACCTTAAAGCTTGTCCCCAGCGACACACCTCCAACAAAACCACACACCTCCTAAGCCTTCCCAAACAGGAAGGACCTGTATTCAAACATATGAGCCCATGGGGGCCATTTCCATTCAAACCACCACAGAATGAAACAAGCACTCGGAAAACAGGAGTTATTGAGAGGATGAATCATGACCTGAAACACTTTGGAGCGGGTATTTATAATGTCCTGTTTTATCATCTAAATGAAGGGAACAAAAGTGTTATTTACTTCTTATTTAAACCATGCATATTATCTTTTGTATGAATGCAATTTTATACCCAGATCTGCTTTCTTACTTCTTTCAACAGCCTCCTCCCATCTCAAACACAGGACAGAGAATTTTTCTAAGGAAAGGGGCTAGCAGACCATTTCCCCCTTGGAAGATTTCTGACCATTCAGGGTAGAGGTTCTATGCTGAATGAAGTGAACATAAGTCAGAAGATGCTGAGATTCCAAACTCAAGGAACCTTTGTCCTCCAGACAAGAGACTAAAAGATTCTGCTCTTAGCTGTCCAAAAATCTAATGTTGTTAGCCTGAAAGGTCAGCCATATCACCCAGCAATGATTTCACAGCTGTCAATCACTACTGACAATTGAGATTGTTTAGTTACATTCCCACCTCCACAATATCAACTATGAGTGCATATATGTCATTAGCAAACAGAGAATGTATACCTGTGTGCATAGGTTCATGCGGAGAGTAGGGGACAGTGGGGAGAGAAAGGAGGAGGTGTGCTTGCTGTTTAATGCTATACATGACAGGACAGCTGGTCCACGAACTTCTGGGGACTCTATTGTCTCTGCTACAAATAACTTCAGAGGATTCTCAAACAAGGTGAAGGTGAGGACCAATACCTAAGCTATCTTCAGACCTCCACATGTGGGCCATGGTATCTTTACACATATACACAGATCCATACATATACATACATTCACACACAAATTCCAACACAGTACATAGGAAAAGAGTGAGTTGTGACAAGAAATTTCACAACACAGGATCCAAAGACAAGATTTTTTTCAGCTTCTGAAACAAACAAACACAATCAACATGGTTCCACAAAACAACCTGGGAAGTTAGAACTCTGAGAGGTAATGTTGAAGATACACTAAAAGAAATTGTTTGTACCTCCAGTTCTCTAACTAGATTAGGGGAATCCTCAACTATGAAGACAGAATTAAAACCTGTCCTGTCATGGTTTTGTGAAGGTGACTTTACTTGGTAATGTGGTCATTACAGATTTCATCAAGTTAGAACAGGCCTTAGTTCAATATAACCTGTGTCCTTACAAGAAGAGGAAACGTGGACGCTGAGACACAGGGAAAATGTGTGAAGGCACAGAGATACACAAAGAAGGAAGGGAGCTATATGAGAACTGGCACAGACCAGACTTACACTGTCCCAGTCACAAATGCCAGCATGTAACCTGATGGAAGAGAGATTCACCTGCAGTGGTTTTGGAGGAGCTGCACTCTGATAACATCCTGACTACAGACCGGGGTAGAATATTTTCTCTTGTTTTAAGAAACCTCCTACTTTGTAATATTTGTCACAGCCACTCCAACAAGTTAATAGTCCAGGAAAAAAAAACAGTGGGAGAAGTGATCACAGTTTGTTATATGCTCTGAACAGGGCAGAATCTCCACTGATAGAAATATTTATGAGACCAAACACTTTACTTTCCTCCTTAAGAAAGAGAATCTCTGAAGAAAAAAGTTGTTCATGTTCCAGTCTACTCAGCATCTGTCTCTAGGGCAGACACAGAAAAGGACTGTATTTGAACCATCTACTTAATGGTCTGAAATCGACCTGACAGGACCAACATCCATGCTGACAGACAGTCACTGCTCTTTGCCAGAACCAAAAACTGTTCTACAGGTGAAACCTTTCCTAAGACTTGATTTCCAGAATGAGTGCTAGGCAACTTCAGTGTATATAGCTGCTATCAGAATCTGCTACAAAATGGTTTTTATTTCTAGTTTTTTGAAGGAAATAATAGGGAAGCACTCCTAAAATATAGTGGGAAAGATCAATGGATATAAACAATAGGAAAAAAGATAAATCAATAAAAAAAACTCCCAAGATGTTAAAAATTTATATTACCAAAGAATAAATTAAACAATAATCAGAGATATAACACAAAATATTTGAGCTAAAAGAGCAGTCTGTAAGATAAAGATAATTGACTCAATATATTCCTAAAGTTCCCCACTCTACATTTAAGATAAAAAAGCATTATACTTCAAGATGTCCTCAAAAAGAGGGCTTCCTTTTCTGAATCAGGGTTTCCCTATATAGTCCAGCCTGGCCTTGAGATCCTCTACTTCTTCCTTCCAAGTGCTGGGATTAAAAAATCTTCTGCTTACAAATGACAGGCTGGAAAAATAGGTTATCTGGAAAGGAATTAAAAATTTGGTATGATCTCAGTTTCTCTGTTCAATAGCAAATACTGTGAAAAGAGTTGTAATGGAGAACGGCAACTTGTTCTGTCAGCTCAGCAAGTTTTGCACCAGCCTTCTGCTTGCAAACCTTGTTCTATGACCCCAGGAGTGGACAGGAAACCCAGGCTTAGACAATTATAGTTTTCCGTTTCCTTGGCAATGACAGACAGACCAGGGCAGAGAAGCGACTCAGGCAAAGCTAACAGGAGTCCTTAGCCAATACTGAAATACATGTACACATAAAAATAAGCCTTACTTGTTGGGCAGAGGTGGTACACGCCTTTAATTCCAGCACTCGGGAGGCAGAGCCAGGAGGATCTCTGTGAGTTCAAGGCCAGCCCGCTCTACAGAGCAAGTTCCAGGACAGGCTCCTGTAGCTAGAGTTTTCCTGCCTGGCCCACAGTCAGGACAAATCTCTATCTCCATCCCACAGCAGGCTCCAAAGCTACACAGAGAAACCCTGTCTTGAAAAACCAAAAAAAAAGCCTTTCCCCTTCTACTTGGGCTATGACAAGCCACAGAAGGTGGTGAAAGCCTGTTTGTAACGGAAGCCTGGGGGTGGGGCAGGGGCAGTAAAGACAAGCCAGAGTTAAAAACAAGTGTGAGGACTGGAGTGTGGATCCCTAGCACTTATGGAAATGTCAGGCAAGCGTGATTGTCTGATGTCATCTCAGAACCAGAAAGGCAAGAAACAGAGAATCCCTGAGGAATCTGGCTAGCCAGATGCTCCAAAACTGGGAGTTCTGGGTTCAGAAAGAGACCATGACCCACCATAAGGTGGGAAGGGACTGGAGAAGGCAATTAATGTCAACCTCAAAACTGCACACTTGTGCCCACATAATGTGAGAACACACATGCATACACCACACATACATATCCAAATAATTAATAAATAAAAACAATCATAGAAGCATCTAGAAGTTTCAATAGGAATTTCTAATAAGTGCTACTCAATTTCTGAATTCAGTCATTGCCTTCCCATTTATGTGTCAATAAGTAATCCTACCCTGTCCCATTTTGGATTATACTAGTGTGTGTGTGTGTGTGTGTGTGTGTGTGTGTGTGTGTGTGTGTGTACAAGAAATTTATGAAAAACAATAAGAGGCCCACTGAGTTCTGGGAGTAAAATGTTTTTGTCTTGCTTGGGCATGATGCCTCATGCCTGTAATTCAAGCATTTGGGAAGTTACAATAAGAGCTTGAGGTTAAGACTGAATCTGAGTTTAGCCTGAACTACATAATAAGTCCTAGTCATAAAAAGTGAAAGAAAACAAAAGAAACTGTTTATAATCTAGAATTACTATACTTAACTTTCCCTTGTACAATTCTCAGCTAATAAAATTAGGACATGGCACTGTTAAAACTGGGTACCTACAGGCGAAAGTGAAGCTAGATGCACACACAACAACTAAGTCAAACTAGATTTTACACCTAACTGTGAGACCTACACCTCTTTAAAGAAAACATTGGCAGGCTGGGCAATGGTGGCGCACGCCTTTAATCCCAGCACTCAGGAGGCAGAGGCAGGCGGATCTCTGTGAGTTCAAGGCCAGCCTGGTCTACAGAGTGAGTTCCAGGACAGGCACCAAAACTACACAGAGAAACCCTGTCTTGAAAAACCAAAAGAAAAAGAAAAGAAAGAAAAGAAAACATTGGCAGAAGCTTCCTGACATTTGATTACCAAAGATATAGGCCACAAAAGAAAAATAGACAACTTAAATAATGAAAAATTCTAAATGTCGTGCCTCAAAAGATCCTATGCACAGAGTAAATAGGCAACTGATCAAAGTGGAGACAGTATTTGCACTTCATATATCTAACAATAGGGTCTTCTTTACACACACAAAGGATGTTAGTCTCAAGAAACTTCATAATAACTATTTTTTTAGCAGTTGAAGAAATATTTGAAAATGTTACCTCATTTGAAGAACTTTCTTGCCAACTTGACACAGGAACAATTTCACTTGAGTTAACATAATTGCTGACATTTGGGAATAGTTCTTCAAAAGATACATTTTGCACTGGAGACAAATCAATCTATATAACAATATAACTCCTTTTAAAGTTTCATAAACAATTAGCTTTAGGTAATTAAACTAATATTGAAAACACTACCTAACTGAAGCATTTTCTTGTGTATCTGATGCACAAACAACTTCATTTGAATAAATGTAATTAATTACATTTGGAAATAATTCTTCAAAACACACTTAACTGTGGATAATCAATGTATAAATAACCTTCTGATCAAAGCCAAATAGAATACAAAATCACAAATACTGGCGAGGACGCACAGGGACCGGGACCTCGTGCATTGCTAGTGAGATGATGGTGAAATGAGGATGCACAGGGATCGGGACCTCGTGCATTGCTAGTGAGATGATGGTGAAATGAGGATGCACAGGGACTGGGACCTCGTGCATTGCTAGTGAGATGACAGTGAAATGAGGATGTACAGAGATCAGGACCTCGTGCATTGCTAGTGAGATGATGGTGAAATGAGGCAGGCCCTGTGAAAAGACTTTCTGGGAAACTTCAAGTGTTCCTACCATATGATCTAGAAATTCTACGTCTGGATATAAACCCAGAGGAACTGAAGATAAGGATCTTATATTTGTACATATGCTTTTAGCACCAGTGCTCATACCAACCAAAGTAGAAATGACCAAAACGTCCACCGACTGACAGGCACGTAAATAAAATGGGATCTTATAACAGAATGTTTTCATATCTAAAATGTAAGTGATTGTCTGTGTGTGTGTGTGTTGTATTGTGTTATGTGTGTGCACGCCTCTGCACTCACGTGAAAATCGGAGAACATCTTTCAGGAGTTGGTTTTCCCCTTTCGCCGTGTGAGTCTTGAGGATAGCACTCAGGCTGTCAGAAAGCACCCTACCTACTGAGCTGCCCCACATTATGTGTTCTAAATTATTTTGTTTTATGTATGTGAGTGCTTTGGCTACTTAAGTCTGTGCACCATGTGTATATAGTACCCATGGAGGCCAGAAGAGGGTGTTGAATTCCCTGGAACTGGAGTTAGAGAGGGTTGTGAGCCACATGTAAGTGTTGGGAATCAAACCCCAGGCTTATGGAAGAACAGCCAGTGATCTCAGTCACTGAACCATCTCTCCAGTCCTTGGAAGTAATTTTTGACACATGCTATCACATATGTGAACTTGAAGGCATAATATCTGTGAATTATATTAGTCATAAAAGGAGGAATACCGGTGGGTATGGTGAAATATACCCATAATCCCAGCTATTTGGGGAGGCTGGGGCAGGAGGGTCAACTGATCCCAGGATAAGTCAGACCCTGCCTCAAAAAAACCAAAGAGTAACTAATGTGTGATTTTAACTATACGAGACACCTCATGTCATCAGATTCACAGAGAGAACGTAGAAAGGTGATTGCTGGGGGCTGGGGAGGGCTCAATAGGGAGTTACTGTTTAACAGGTATGGAGTTTTAGTTTCACAAGATGAAAAAGAAGTTTAGAACTAGATGGAGATGATGGCTATACAGAAATGTTCAATGCACAGCTAAACACAATTAAAATTCTAAATTTTATGTTACACATACAAGAAAGGCTGGTCATGATAGCACATGACTTTGATCCCAGCACTACAAAGGCAGAGTTGAGCTGATCTCTATGCATTCAAGGGCAGCCTGGTCTACAAAGGGAGTTCTAGGCCAGCCAGGGCAGGAGAGGGAAGAGAAGGAAGGGGTAGGGGGAGAAAGTTTGGGGCTAGAGATGGTTCAGTCATTAAGAATGTACTGCTCTTGCAGAGGACCTGAGTTTAGTTCCCAGCACCCAGGTCAGGAAGTTCACAACCACCTGTAACTCCAGCTCCAGGGGATCTGATGCCCTCTTTTGGCCTCTGTGGGCACTCACACTCAGATGCCCACATACATATAATTAAAAATAAAATCTTTTTTATTTTTAAACATACCCCCACACAGACACATACACATAATTAAAAATAAAATCTTTAAACAAAACTCCCAAACAAACACTGGTTGGTGTTGCAGTATTCTCCCTTACATATAGAGTATTTCCAGTGGAAGTGTGTTTATGTAGCAGAAAAGTACAGGTATTGCTCCTTATGGGCAAATGCCCTTGGTATGATACAAACAGATGAATGGGGGGAGGAGAAGTCAGGAAGCAGATACCCCAAGGGCCACAGGCTGGCACTTACCACAAAGTCAGCTGTGTCTGAAGATGGTGTACTTGTTAACAGGGCTTTGCTTTGTTTATCAGGAGGAGTAGAACTTTTTTTCTATAAATATTTAGAAAATAGATTAATTATTAGAAAGAAAATATTTTAAAAATAGTAATTCAAAGTTAGTAGACTAGACCATGTGTAATAATAATAAAATCCTTATTCTGTTAGTTAAATTTTAAATCACCTGATAGGAAACTGAAGAATTTTCTGGACTGAACTAGGTCAGACAACTCTGACTAGAACTGTATCTGATGTAACAACAATATGGGATTGCTGAGGTTGAAATTATTAATTTAGGAAGAAAAGCTAGAGTAATAAGTAATACGCTTTGATTACTTCTTTTAACCACCTTAAAATTATTTCCAGCATTTGCTTAGTTCCTGGAATAGTACTGTCCTTTTTAACAAAGTGGGAGTGGAAAGTTGGGGAGAAACGAGGGGGAAATGGGAGAGGTAAAGATTCAGGAAGAGAGGGATGCTCTAAGAGACCAGGAGAAGAGAGAGAAGATGGCTGAGGGAGGGAGAAGAGAGAGAAAGAAACAACAGAAACTGAACAGATGAAGAGGTAGAGGCGCAGAAGGGCAGGGACAGTGCGGAGCAGGGAGACTGGAAAGAGACGGAGAGACAGTGGGACGCTGAACGAGACAACCATGAGCAGCAAAGAAGAAAAGGGAGAAAAGCAAAGCTGAGTGACAGATGGGCAGAAGGACAGAGGTGGGTAGCTTTATTCCCAGCAATCAGCTGCCTTTCTAAAGCTTGGACTCCATAAACCCACCATGCCTTTCTGCTAAGTGTCTCTTTCTGAGTATGTGACTGTTCCGTGATGCCAAGATTGGATCTGGAACCCAAACTCTGAGAGAAATTGAAAATCATAGTTCAGTCTGTGTTAGTTTATTCCACTTTTACTTTTCTTTCACTCTGTTTTTCTTCTGATTTAATCTACTTAAACTAGTTGGATAAGCTAATCTAAAATGGATTATTAAGAAAATTGTTATTAAAAAACTTGTGGGTATATTTGCTTGGTACAGCATATGTTAACTCTAACTTATTGATGATATACTTTTTTTTTTTTGGTTTTTCGAGACAGGGTTTCTCTGTGTAGCTTTGCGCCTTTCCTGGAACTCACTTGGTAGCCCAGGCTGGCCTCGAACTCACAGAGATCCACCTGGCTCTGCCTCCCGAGTGCTGGGATTAAAGGCGTGCGCCACCACCGCCCGGCTGATACTTTTAATTTCTTTATCTGAACAATGAGGATTAGTCTACATTTAGGATTGGTGAGCAAGGATTACAAAGAGTGTATGCAGAGAGAACCTATGGATTTTGGAGAGAAGACAGAATGAGTCTTCTAGTGAGCTAGCTCTATCATCATTGAGGCAGCCTCAGGGGTCTCTGTCCTTGATCAAAGAACCTGCTGGTACACTGCAAGGGGTGTGTTTAGCAATAACCCAGCTGCAATATCTTTAGTATCTGCATCAGCTGTCAAGCTAAGGCCGTCATGTCACCTCAGCCTCCAGCCAAGTCCTGAGCACACAGCACAATGTAGACTTGGGTGATGTATATTCTTTGCTTTAGAACTCCCCATTGGATCCAGGCAGTTGTAGTGGGTAGCTGTTCCAGTTTTGACCTGGAAGTACTACCCCCATTGAGGCTTCAGGTAACTCTTACACCTACGAAGCCGGGCCAAGATGGGAGCCCTTAAGACCTGAGATCCGGATGTCCCAATGACACAGCTGCTAACATTCAGTTCACTTTACAAAGCATTAGCTTGCATGCAGCTGTAGAATTTAGCTGCGCTCTATTTTCTCTGTATTTGTTAAGAAATTGTGCATTTCTAAACCTTCCCAATCAGTGTACCTTATAGTCTTTTTAAGAATTATGAGTTAACAAAATACCAGGACTTACCAACACAGTTTCTAGGGTTTGAGGCAGAAGAGCATCCTTCATGGCAACGATTTCAAGAGGTAAGCTATGATGGGAGAATGGAGCCTTGCTGTCTAGATGACCAGAGCTTAACTTTGTTTGAACTTGTGGACCTCTATCTTCAGATTCCTTTTCAGGCTGAAACACATTCACAATAGCAAATATAATTCACAATACTAAAAAACATTCCTTGTCCTTCTCAGGTGTCCTATTACTTCTTCAAGTTGAAAAAAAATAGGTTTAAACATGAAGATAATTGATTTTCTAGGAAAAAAGAATGTGTTCTAAGGCTAGGGGTATATATCTCCAGCACTATAAAATGTAACAACCCAAAGCCTGACATATGCATAAAAACCAATATGTTCCATATATTTAAATGAAAAACCTGGTGAAAGACAAAATAGGTTGAAATACTCAGTTCCACCACATGTAAGGTAACAACGCTCACATGGTGTTTTACAGAGTTGGAGATGTGGATTGGGTAGCGGCAGAGCACTTGGCTAGCAGGGGTGACGACTTGGGTAAAAGGGAGAAGCCCAAATAATGTTTTGCAAAAACAAATTATGAGATCTGTTTGACAACACATAAATTTATACTAGGGAAAATACTAAATATATTTATTACTGTCTTTATTATACAATACTCTGTATTTAAATAACCACGTCCTCCAAAAAGAAAATCCTTTTAACATCAGGACATGGTAACCATCACAAGTGTGTTGTTTTGTCAACTAATCCCTGTACTGACTATTACACATGGTTCAGTGACTCCAGCTACAAACTTGTTTCATAATGCATTTATAATATCATAGTACTTTAAATATAAGCATGGCAAACGTAAGTAGGGAAGTGAGGTCTGAATTCCACATAGAATTAGACTGTAGTGGTGTAGCTCTAAGGATTTGATTTGGGCAGAGCTGGGGAAGGAAATGGGAGCTAAGGAAGGTACAGTCCATGCCGATGAGTAAAGGGGAGGACAGTCAAGAGCAAAGCACACAACGGCCTAAAGTGACTTCTTTCCTCTGAAGACAGATGTTTCTTTCCATCTTGCCATCACTCTGAGAGTGTCACCAACCAGGTGAATGACATCCACAGCTGTCCTCCCAGTTCCTTCAGTTCTAGGCTGCCGTTTCCCTCATGCCATTTCAGTCATGTCACCTTCGATATAATCTACAGAGTCATCAATTCAGACAGCTTCCTATGCCCGCCTAGTCCTTGTTTAAGTGCCTTCATGAAACAGCGTGCCCCCCGCCCCCCATTAGAATCTTTAGTTCACTGATCCTGCCATTTTCTCTTTACCATTAGCCTTCTTTAGTCTTCTGTGTGGGTTATCTAACCTGTCACTATCCATCAATACAATTAATTTCTTATCCCTTCCCCTTCTAGCAGACACCAGACAAATCTTCAACCTCAGACAAGCCCTCACCCCCACCTCCTCTGTACTTTCAATGTAACCGAACCCTGGTAGAACTGTGTAACCTGGCAAGTCACAGACGCAACAAAACTGCCTCACACAAGCAACTAGACTACACATGTCTAGCTTCTCATGACTATTTCACACATGCTCTATTTTCCCTAGAACGGTCTTCTTCCCTTTGCAATTTTCAGCTGAAAATCTTTCACCATATACCTCTGTAACAACAGTAACCATCAAAAAGGATGCCACCCAAGGCTCAAAAATTTCAAGACTAAATGCAGAAAGGGAGGCTCTAGTTTAAAAATTATTAAGAAATTCCAAGTGGTGGCCATGCATACCTTTAATTCCAGCACTCAAGAGGCAGAGACAGGCAGATCTCTGTGAGTTTGAGGCCAGCCTGGTCTACACAGCAAGATCCAGGACAGGCACCAAAACTACACAGAGAAACCCTGTCTCGAAAAACCAAAAATAAATAAATAAATAAATAAATAAATAAAATAAAATAAAATCATGTAGAGATAGGAAACTCACAGGGAAGTCTGGATCCTGTATGTCTTGTATTGTCTTTAAATTTTTTGATTGCTGATGAGCAAACAATAGCTTCTGAGAGACACTGGATCATAAAAACTACTAAATTACATCAACCTATATATTCTAAAAATGTCTTAACTTCAAAATGGAAGTCAAAAGGTATGTTACATTGGGGAAGAGGTTATGCTTTTGTTTCCATAGAAAACAAAAGGCTGTGGATTCATTCATGGTTGATAGAGATCAGATTTGATTGGGGGAGACCCCTGAAAATCCTAGCTACAGAAATAAAGAAATAAATATTAAAACTACAAGACAGGTGGCATACATTTTACCTGCTTGAACATGAAACAAAAAATCATCTTTGTCTGACTTATGTACACAGTCAATACTTGTGTTAATGTAGATATATATGTTACCTTTGGAAGTTTATGTGTTTCCAGAGAAAGGGGATCAGACACCAATGAAAACAGCTGGCCCAGGTAATCCAGCCTCTCAGACCGCCTCTGTTGCAGTTTCCTCAAGAGTTCTGCACCCAGAACAGCTTCAAGGCTGCTGGCTGATATGATCCAGCCTCACAGACTACTTTATCCAGACTTCAGATAAGCCCTATATTTCCCCATCATACTGAGATTAGAAAACAGCTTGTCTTGAACATTATCCCAATTTTCTCAGGGTCCCCCAAAGATGCCAGTACCCCCAGACAACAGGAAGCAGTGTAGAAAACACAACACCCACATTCACAAGAGTTGGGGTGGGTTGTTTTTGGTTGTTAAGTGGAATTATGGATGTTTTTCATCACAAATTGTTATTGGTCATGGTCAGAAAAAAAACTGAACAAAGGAAATTAAATTCAGGGATCTCTTTCAGAAGAGAAAAAAACGGGATATTGTATAAAAATGATGGGATAAAAGGGTAGATTGTTGAGTCTACTTTTGAACAATCACTAGTCTCAAATATTTTACATTGGTATGGAATTTTGTATACTGGTACAAATTTAGGGTTATTTTTGTTATACTGTATATATGTTTCTACTCTTGTTTAAGGTATTTTTGTATATTGCTACAAATTTAAGGTTATTTTTGTTAGAGCATACTGTACATACATTTCTACTCTTGTTTAAGGTACTGTACCTATGCAGCTCATTTAAAAGTGTAATGTAAAATTTTAGTCTTTGAAAGTTATTTAGGATATTAAAGAAATACAGGTTAGTAGTTAGTCGTCTATAACAATCAAACTTATAGCCATGTTAGGTATGTTTTCAAGATCATAAGGAAATATATTTTAGATAGATAGGTGATCTTCAAATACTTCAAAGATCTACAGAATATGGTATTTTAAATGTTTTAATAACATAAGGCTATCCATGACAATGAAACATGTCTGCTCCTGGCAGCACCAATTTACTTAAAAGACGGATGCCCCAACATTACAGAGGAGCCCTGGAGTGACTGTCCAGGCAGCCATATGTCTCTGTCATTTCATAGTTTTGGAAGTTGCTTGCTCTGCACTTCCTGTTTACTCAGGTAATATTATATCCTTCTCGGGTCTCTGATGGAGTTGAAGACTAGATAGTTATAGTTACAGTTTTTCTTAGTCATGATAGAAAGTAAATTAGGTAAAAAAAAAAAAACTTTGAACTCATCAAGAGAGGATAGATAATGGAATATTTTCTCTAAATTTGCCAAATACTAATGGACTGGACATTGTAAATGTATTTCTTACTTGGTAATTATTCTTATTGTATATAGTTTTATATTGTTAAAGTTAAAATCTTTCCTTTTGATTTAGACAGAAAGAGGGAATGTTGTGGAATAATCTTTTTATACACTGTGAAGATGTGTCACTTGGATTGGTTTAATAAAAAGTTGAACAGCCAATAGCTAGGCAGGATTTTTAGGGCAGGGAGACCCTGGGAAGAAGAAAATAAAGACATGAAGAGACATGAAGGAAGCAGGATTGCAGGATGGACAATATATAGATGAGGTAAATGAGCCTTGGGGCAGCACACAGATTAATAGAAATGGGTTAATTTAAGTTAATTTAATTATCCAATCACCATTTGTATAAAAGATAATTTTCCTCTAGTATACTTTCTTTGCTTATTTACCAAAGAGCTAGCTAAAAACAAGCCTAATCTATTGGATGAGCTTTCAGAATTAATAATAAGACTCCATGAGGTGATTTGGGAGCTGGCTGGTGGGACAGAGAAAGACTAGCTACATGCACTTCCATACCAAGCATTTAATCAACTGAATCATCTCTCCAGCCCCTCCAATAATACCTTTAGCAATCAGCTGCTCAATACAAAGATTAGAAGAAGTCTTTCTCCATACTTCTCACTCCTTCCTCTATATTAATCTGTAAATTTACAGGCAAAATTACCTTCAATTCATGCACATCTCTCCATCTCTTCTCTAAAACAACTTAATCAAAGCCAAATACAAAATCTCTCACCAAACCTATTTTTAATTTCTTATTGATAGATCTGCCTGATAACATGTTTGCCTTTTCCCAATTTATTCCCTAATCTATATAGTAGGAAGAAAATGGATTTACAGCAAGAAAGACCTGCCACAAACCACTAAAAAATGATGAAAATATAAGCCTGTTTTCTCAGCTATAAAATAGATACCATCAAACAAGCATACAACCAAAAAAAAAAAAACTACTTATCTGGCTGGAATGATATAAAGAAATGATACAATTAATGAAAGGCTTTCAAAGTCCAAAGCCTTCCCCAGAGCACTTCAGATTCCCAAAGACTATAGTCCTCAGCATAAAATGCTGCTCTGGTTATAGAGTAAATTTTTATTTGTAACTTAATGAATAATGTGTACCTAGTCATTGAAAGGAAATCAGAAAAAAATGTTAAAATATATTTTAATTCTCTTTTATTAAACTTATATAAAGTATATATTGATGTATGGCATGCATAGGGTTTCTACAAACAAGTCTTATGTTCCAAAAATGAGTTTTGCTATTGCCTTAAATACTCTTTTATTAAACTTATATAAAGTATATATTGATGTATGGCATGCATAGGGTTTCTACAAACAAGTCTTATGTTCCAAAAATGAGTTTTGCTATTGCCTTAAATACTCTTTTATTAAACTTATATAAAGTATATATTTATGTATGGTATGCATAGGGTTTCTACAAACTGAGTAAGTCTTATGCTCCAAAAATGAGTTTTGCTATTGCCTTAAATACACAGAAAATAATTTCTGCATGTGTTAATTGAAATCACATCTTTTATTGGGGCAACTATTTGTATAGTTATCCTGCTTCAATACTTGCTTTTTTCTTTGTTTTTTTGGTGGTTGGAGGGCCAGTTTTCCCAGCAAATATAACCTCAGAAGCTTCATTTTCTACAAATGAAAACATAGTTTAATTCTATTTAACCAGACATTAAGTATAAAAGACAGAGAATTCAAACTCAAAACCAAACCAATTACCTGGTTTTAATGACTTTACCCCTGTAAAAGGAAGAAAAACCTAATATATGTTGAATAATCTAACTTGCCTCAGATAGAAGAAAATATCCTGTAAAAATTTATGTCAGACAGGGTTAGAGATGGCCCAGTGGTTAAGAGCACCTGCTAGTCTTGCCGAGGACCCGGGTTTGATCACCAGCACTCACATGGTGGTTTACAACCTCTGTAACTCCAGTTCCAGGGGTCCAGTGGCCACTGCAGGCACTGCACACACACACATGGTGCACACATGTACTACACAGGCAAAACACCCATACCCCACCTAGCACATAAAACAAAACTATCTCAGAGCTCCATGTTTCACAGAAGTAGAACACATGGTTTACTTTTGAGTTAGTAGGGGTGTATATATGTAAGTAAAGTTCTTTATTTCTACTCCTCCTGTATTTAAGCATTCCCTTTCTATTGTGACTTTCCTATCAGTATTCAGTCATTTATTAATGAATGAAATGGGTTTTTTTTATGTTGCCCAGACTGGTCTGAAATTTCTAGGCTTAAAAGCCATTCTCCTGCCTCAGTCTCCTGAGTAACATTGACTCCACGTACCTACTACTATACCTGGCTCTACCAGCATTTCAAACAAACTCGGGCCTGGCCTATGCTATTCAAACTTTTCCCGTGCTCCATATTCCCTCCTTCTGCACCACATCTTACCTCTAGCTGCGTTTCTTCAGAAAGCCATCTATACATATTGACTTTATTGCCTCTCCTCCTATGCACTCTCAAATTTAAAACAGTTCAGTTTAGCCCTCACTAATATCAGCAGAAACAACCCCTGTTCTGTCTCACTGGATCTTAACACAGGTGCTGACCATCTCTCCTCTCTGGTCCTTATGCTCCTCCTCATGTCTCCCTGTTCTCTACTCCCTAGACTCTGTACAAAGCAACAGTATTCATTGAGTGCTGGCACTGTGCATGTTATGCATATGATCTGGGTTTAATATTGCACATCCAACTTGTCTTTATTCTCTGCACTACTACCCTGATCTGAGGCACCAAAAGCTTTGCCTTTACATTATCCTAAGGGTTTCAGTTCACCTCTCTATAATCCATTGTCCCCTTATTTACCTAAAATGTAAATCTAGTGTCATTTGCTTAAGGTTTTTTTCAGGCTTTCCACTGCCATCAAATTAAAATGCAAACTCTTTACTTTGACATACAAAGTCCTTTTTATGATTCATGATTGCTCACACTTTGCCCAGCCTAAAATATTTTCCAGAGAAAATATAGGATTCTCAGTTAAATTTGTATTTTAGTAAAATCTTTGGTTAAGTAACCCAGTTTAATAGTATTTATTTTGCAGTATTTGAAGCTTACTTCTATCAGAATATTTGCCACTTAGCTGAATTCAAGCTTAACGTATTTATTTGCTAAATCTGGAAAGTCTAGGGGTTAATGATTACTTCTGTCATTTTCATCTCCCAAGGTGAAGAACAGTAGGTAGATTAATGAGTTTGTGGGAGATAAAAGCTATACCCAACATTTTGTCATAGATTAAACAGAACAATAACAAACATGGGAGTACCGAGGATGACCTCTAGGCTACTGCTTTGTTACTGTTCCTAAGATTGGGGCCAGTTTAGTCCACAGCTTTCATTCTAGTTAGTCTCTGATTACTTTTAAATTATTTTCTATCTCATTAATATGTATTATACAATGATTTATTATTATTATTATTATTATTATTGACACAGGGTCTCACTATGTAGTTCTGGCTGTCCTGGAACACAATTTGTAGACCAGGCTGCCTTGAACTCACAGAGATCTGCCTGCCTTTGCCTCCTGAGTGCTGGTATCTAAGGCATGAGCCACCACATCCAGCACATGGAATTGTTATATAATACATACTTTAGAATGGTGACATTCAGTGGGTTAACTACCAGCTTCATAGGGCTATTTAAATTCAATTGAAATGAAACATTCTAAAATAAAAAAGCTTAAAAATGAAAACATGTATCTGATTTAGTCATTGCTAGTTTACTGTGTCCTGAGTTCTCTCATGGCTTCTGAGGCACAGTTCCCTACCAGGTTTCCTCTAATGCACCAGCCACTAAGCCTAGGCTTCCTCTGATGGACATTTCCCTCTTTCCCTACTTCTACATGCTGAAGTGCCCCATTCACATTCTTTTTAGATGTTTTAATTCATTACTTCCTATATGATTTCACCTAATCCTATGTTGTGAAAACACCTACATTCCAATTCCAAATAGATATTAGTGTGTGTGTGTGTGTGTGTGTGTGTGTGTGTGTGTGTGTGTGTGTTTAAAAACAGCCTCTGTCCTGAATTCCAGAGTCATGTATCACAAACTGCCTTCATGAAAGCTCCACTTGAAGCTAATGCACCTCTCCAGGTTGAATTATTTTATTCAAGGTTATATATAGCAATAGCCAGAGTGTTTTCTGCATCTGCATTCATCAATGTAGCCACTCCCATGTTCAAGGTATAACACATTACCAGCACTCTAGAAGTTTCTCTTGTCTTCTTTCCCACTTGATTCCCTCTTTCCAAAGATAACCTCTGTTCTGATTTCTATCATTCACAACAGTCTCACCTGTTTTTAAACTCCTGTATGTGGAATTATACACATGAGCTGACAGATTAAATTTAATGTATCCAAATGAATTCTCTTAATCATTTTCCTAATTTTCTCTACTCTACAATGATCCCATCTCAATAACAGATACCTCTTTTCACTCAATTGCTCAAGCCAAGAATTTGATATTGACATTGGACTTCTATTTTTTTCTTATCTAATATCCAGTTTAATAAGAAAACAGATCCCAAGTCAGACCTCTGCCACCAACTTGATTTAAGACACCATTATCTGAGACAGCCACAGTTTTAACAAGGTCTCCTTGATCCTACTCTTCTCCTCTTACTCTATTTACCATATACCAAATATCTACCATATACCATATAGCCATACATATCTATTTCTATATATCAACACATTTTAGAACCCTAAGACCACAGAAATGTGGACAAAGGCACAGAACCCAAGGGCTCTTGGAAACTCAAGCTCCTTCAGCCTACAGTTTTCTACCCTCCAGTGTGTTTCAGCAGACAGCTGAAATAGTCCTTTCCCATATATAGATTATTTTCTACCTCATTAACATACATAATAAACAATAAACTACTATATAATTAATACTTTAGAATGGTGTTGAACAATGTGTTAACTACCATCTTCATGGGGCTATTTAAATTCAACTGAAATAAATTCTAAAATATAAAAACTTAAAATGAAAATATATACCTGATCATTTCATTTCCTTTTGCTAATATGCTTTAGGGTGTATTTATTAGCACACTTATCACAAACTCCTTAGTCTTCACTGTGGCATTCACTAACTTTCAGACTAGAGTTTCAACCACTCAGTTTTGCTCTGCTCAAGCCACACTAATCTCCTTCTTCTTCCTCAAACACGCCCAGCACATGCCCATCTCATGACCTGTTTACTTGCTTCTGCTGTTTGGAATGTTCAATAGCCAGTTCTCTTCATCTTACTCAGGCTCTGTGTAAATGTACTTCTTCAGACATGCCTAAATTACTCCATTTAAAACATCACACCTAGGGGCTGGCAAGATGCTTAGTGAGTAAAGTCACTTACCAGGCAAGCTTAGAAACCTGAGTACAATCCCCAGAACCCATATATAGGTGGAAGGAGAGAAGTAACTCCACAAGGTTGTCCTCTGATCTCTGCACATGCACTGTAGCATGTGTGCTCCTGCTACATACACTCACATGCAATGATAATAAATAGTTTTTTAAATAGCTTACCCAGTCACACTCTTTACCTTGGTTCATTTTCTTTCATTACTCTTATTTATATTCTTATATCTACTCTATTTTTCATTACTCTTACCTAGAAATGATATCACATATATATTTATCTGTTTATTATCTTCTTTCCCTTCCACTACAGTATAACTTTGTTAAGTCAAGGACTTGGTCATGTTTCATGACACACCTAAAATAGTTTATGTCACAGTGCAGGTAATTGGACTTCATGAATGTTTAGAAATGCCCTGAAGCATGTAAGAGGAAACATTCAAAAGACAGCTACATAGAGTCTTAACCTCAGAGAAGTGGCTAGCCTGAGAGTGTTAAGGACTGCATATTACAGGTCATCTATACATGTATCTCATATGACAGATTAAAAAGAGATTAGAGTCTAGCAGTTAGCTTTGAAGAGTTCTCAATTTTTATGGCTAATAGCAATAGATAAGACTGCCAAAGAGCCTGAGCAAATATTGCTGGAAAGTAATTTTGTATTTGTCTGTGACTGGACTGCAGGACTCTTGAGACACGGCACAAGCACAGCTACTTCCTGATCACTTGATTCTCAGTAAAAAGCCTGGCACACAGTTAGAATGCAGTTGGGGCTGTTGAATTAAAGGACGTATAAAATTACCCTTAAGAGCAGGTGTGAGTTATTTGATTTAAATCTCGTGAATCAACACATAAAAGAATATAAAGGCAAGGCTAAAGATGTAGCTCAGTTAGTACTAGCATGTAAAAAGCCCTAAATTCCATACTCAGCACCACATATATCAGGTGTAGCATGCCTATAATCCTAGCACTCAGGAAGTAGAGGCAGGAGGATCAGAAACTGAGGGTCCTCTTCAGGTACATAGAAAATTCAAGGCCAGTCTAGGCTATATGAAACCCTGCTCACAAAAACCAAGGAGAGAGAACCTGGCTATGGAGGCAGCAGAGCTAGAAGGGCCTGCAATGTGTAGTCCATGGAGGACTTAGCAAGGCACCTTATAGTTACTGTTACCTTGACCAGAGCTTCAGGTCCCCGAGGGGCTCCTGCAATAAACAATTTGCCCAAGGAGATGAAGGCAGGCTAGAACTGGTGGTAGTCAGTGCTGTTGATCCTTGAGGGGATGGATACCAGCTCCAGCCAGGAAGAAAGGTACTGAAGGGGAGGTCATCAAGGCTTGGGATACTGGCATAGTAAACATTAAGGTAGAATATGCCATATTACTTGTAAAGCAGAGTATGCTTATGGTTGGTAGATGGTCCTCCAAAGATGCCCCAGTGGCCACGGTTGTGTCTGAGATAGAGTTAAATTCAAGTGAGAGGATATGACAGGAGATGAAGATGGTTGAATTGTCTGCAGAATATGGATGTGGGGTGACCAGGGCCGAAGAAGGCTCTTTTAGCTTATGACAAATTTGCCTATCTGATGGAGGACAACACTGTTGTTGAGCTAGAAGAATGATGATCTCCAGCTTTAAATGTCCACAGTGACTCCCATGTGCCTACATTTTATACACACCCAGCTTCTAAAGATGGGCTTTTGAGTCTGCTGCTCACATCACCCTGGTCCTTTCACAATTTCCCTGTGAAAATGGCATGTGTTCCATCCACCCTTTCCCAGTGACATCTGCATAACAAATTGAAGAAACTGAAAAAAGGAGGAATGCAAAAGCATATATAATTCCAGAATCACTACTCTATCCTACCATCATGCTTTTAAAGCAGTATGCTCCAAACTCTTGATTTGGCAAGACCAAGGTAAAACTGTGATTGGTTTTTGTACCATTACCATTCTCCCATTAATGTTTTCCCCCTTTTTTATTTTTTTTATTTTTATTTTTTATTTTTTGGTTTTTCGAGACAGGGTTTCTCTGTGCAACTTTGTGTCTTTCCTAGAACTCACTCTGTAGCCCAGGCTGGCCTCGAACTCACAGAGATCCGCCTGGCTCTGCCTCCCGAGTGCTGGTATTAAAGGCGTGAGCCACCACCGCCAGGCTTCCTTTTTTATTTTTGATGCTCAGCATTGAACACATGGCCTTGTTCATGCTAGGCAAGCATGCTACATCCCTGGGTCTCTCTTTCTCTATGATTATTTCTCTTCTCTTAGTGTAAGAAATAAATAATTATTGTCCATTTTCAGTATAAGGTGTGCTTAGAGTGCTACAAAGAATCACAGATAAGCATTTTCAGTATAAGGTGTGCTTAGAGTGCTACAAAGAATCACAGATAAGCAGGAGTCACTGGGTCCCTCTCTTTCCTAACTAGTTGCTGGTACCTGCTTGCCTCAGAGCTCTTGGGGTTGAAAAGTTTCAGGCAGTCTGCTATGAGACTATGCTAAAAGATTGTAACTCTCTGGAGCATTAGCCTTTGGGAAAAAGTGGACAGGAATTTCTTGTGATCAAAGACTTTAAAATCACTGTCTTGTACCACATCAGTACACCAGCCATTTTTGCCTTTTGTCTACACTAGCATTCCTTCCTTTCCCTCTCCTCTTTCCCTTCCCTTCCCCTCCTCCTCCTCCTCCTCCTCCTCCTCTTCTTCTTCTTCTCTCTCTCTCTCTCTCTCTCTCTCTCTCTCTCTCTCTCTCTCTCTCCCCCTTCCCTCCTTCCTTCTTTTCTTTCTTTTTTTTTTTTTTGGAGAACAATGCTGGAAATGAAAGTCTAAGTTTTCTTTCTTGGCATTCTACATTCTTTAAATTCAATAGAAACAATGAAGTCCAAACCCATTCTCAACAACCTTTGTCAGACTCTCTTTTTTTATTGGAGAAATAGATTCTTCTCTTATACAATACATCCTAACCAGTTTCCCTTCCCTCCACTCCTCCTATCCTTTGCCACCTCTCCTCTCCCGCAGATCCACCCCCCTTAATTTCCCTTCAGAAAAGAGCAGGCCTCAAAGAGACAACAGCCAAACAGGACAAAACAAGATACAATACAAAGCAAAAGCCCTCACACTGAGGCTGGACAAGGCAACCCAATAGGAGGAAAAGAGTCCCAGGAGCAGGCAAAAGAGTCAGAGACACACCCACTCCTGCTGTTAGTAGTCCCACAAAAACACCAAGCTAACAGCCATAACATATACGTAGAAGACCTGGTGCATACCCATGCAGGTCCCATGCTAGTTCAGTCTCTGTGAGCTTCAGCATTGAATATTAATTTTTTTTTTTATTTCTCTAGTCTCTTGAATGTGTTATTACAAACCTAGGGCCTCAAAGTTCCCTTTGATCTCCTAGTGCTAACCATCTAGAGTAGACAGCCCACTCCTTCCTAGGACCTGGGCTTTACAGGTTCAATGTCTATGGCTAGAATACTGTTGTTCAGAACAGGAATGAGCTTAATCCCCCCACTTCACAAGCCAGAGTATCAACTATTTAGCTCTAGTTGTCCTAGAAATCACTATGTAGATCAGGCTGGCCTCTTGAAAACAACTTCTGAAAATAAAGATTTTAAAACCAAGTTTATATTTTCAGTTCATATAAACATTTGAAATAATCAATTATTTCTTGAAGAAGGAACAATTCTTCAATTTTGCTTTCAAATAAATGTTAGAAAACTTGTTACAAGAAATAAAGAAAACAGGGCTAAAGGGATGCCTCAGTGGTTAAGAGCACTGGTTGCTGCTCTCTCAGAGGACCTCAGTTCAATTCCCAGCACCCACATGGCAGCTCACAACTGTTTGTAACTCCAGTTCCAGGGATCTCTTGCCCTCTTCTGGACTCTGCAGGCACATGGTGCACAGGAACACATGCAGGAAAACACCCATAAAAATAAAGCTAAAAAAAGAAATAAAATAAAAATCTGACCTACAACTGAGGCTAATAAGTACATAAATGTCTTGCTAAGTTTACTCCAATAATAAAATAAAAGAGTGCCAGTAATGCAAGACATTTTATTGATCCCATTATTTTTCAGTCATTACATATAGCCCCAATTGTTCTCCTCTACTACTGAACCTATAAGGGCAGGGAAAAAGTGTCACTTCCCACTGGACTATGCAACAATGCCTAATATAGAGTATTTCAAGTATATTTCTAATAAGACTAAACAAAGTGCGGTGTATGGATAATTAAGACCCATTTTTCTAACCTCATAAATATTCTTTTCTTCCTTCTTTTTTTTTTTTTTTTTTGAGATGGGGTCTGGCTATGCATCCCTGGCTAGCCTGAACTTGCTATGTTGACCAGGCTGACCTCTAACTCTAACTAATCTGCTTGCCTCTGTTTTCTGAGTGCTGGGATTAAAGGTGTACACCACCACACCCAGCCAAATTTTTATTTTTAAAATGAAACCAAACTAAAATATTTCCTGGAGTGCCTAGTTTGTTAATACATGGTATACTGCAGCTAAAGTAAATATGTAATCATTGAAATAATTAGTGCCATTAATTATTACCTGATGCTACATTTGAAGTATACTGTGGTACTGGAGAGATATGTGGGGCTTCTAATGTCATCCCTCTGTAATAAGAACAAATTAGTGATATTTTCTAATCTTTTAGTAACTTTCAATTATCCTCAAATTATACTGAAAATAAAGATGTGAAATTAATTATTCTGTAGGAAAAATATAACTGGTTAGAAAATGCATATTTATAGTAATAGATAACAATAACATGTACTTATATGTTTATCAGTATGACACATGTGTAGAGGCAAGCCATGATGTTTAGACTTACACAGACCTGAGTTTAACCCCAGCTTTATTACTTATACATACTTCAGTGGCCTTGAGAAACAGGCTACCCAACCTGTCCTGAGTCTTACTTGCCTTATTTATGCAAAGAAATAGCAAACCTGCTGCCCAGATTTTCGTGGTAAGGATTCCAAATATGAGTGATATTTTTGGAAATGAGTATCTTTCGCTCTTTGGTGTTTCCACAAATGAGATTGTGTTTCATTCTAACTAAACATGCATGAGAGGATGAGTTATTACAAAGATGTGAAAGGATCCAATGTTTGCTCCCAAAAACAAGGTCTAAGGAAGACAGATTTCTTTGAAGACAGCAGAGTTGAAAACCAAATGTGAGAGGAGACTTTTCTCAGTTCCTGTATTAGTTAACCTGAAAGCTGAATGCAGTAAAGAGCAAACATTTCTGTCATTTCCCTTTCAGCTTTTACTCCAAGTGGAACCACCTCGCTTCTGAACGAGCCTCCATGTAAACTTCTTCTTATTAATGCATTTCAGATACACTCTGGTTTCTCTTCAGATCGTATAAATCTTCTGCCTTTTACTAATGCACCTCAGGTATTCTCTGAATAAACAGCTATTTTAGGCGATAAGGAGTCTGGTGTACTAGCACAACTCCAGACTCCTCCTATTGATCGTAGAGCTCTCCCTGCTCTGCCCTCAGTGCTGCTGGGACAGCAGCTTGGCCTGCCTTTCTCTAGTTCTTGTCCCCACCCCCTCTTGCCACACACACTTGTCTGATGCTGGTTTCCTCTGGCATTGGATCAATGTGATCTGGAAGTGGACTTTTTCCATTCTGTAGGTTGCCTTTCCATTTTTCTGTGTTTTCTATAAGTATTCATTGAGGGTTAAATCTTAAAATTTTCACAATCTGCTTTAGTCATGATGAAAAGCCTTCAGTGGCTCTCAATATCCTTGGGACAAAATAAAAATCCCACCCTCAAGGCCTTTCATAGTTCAGATTGTGGCTACCTTCTGGAACTCAGATCCTGCCTCTCTCACAAACTCTCAGTTTAGTATACACGTCCTGAACCAAATGCTTCCTCCGATAACAATACTTCTCCCCAGTCTTCCCCATGGCAATTCTATTACTTTTTTTTGTTAGAGCCTCAACATCAAATGCCAAATAATTGGCATTATTTAATAATAACTACCTCCTCAATAATTCTTCCTAAAACAAAGTTTTGAGTGTTTTTTGAGACAATTACACAAATAATCCATTGTTATTGTTCATAGGAGCCAATTGAGGTCTGTCTGTTCTTAAACTTTTAGAAAACTAAATAAGTCATCAGTGCATATTTTATGGAAACTCTCAATGTTATACCAAATAGTGTACATGGTTAGAATCACACAGACGAGGGTTTAAAACCAACTTTGCTATTTTTTGCCAATCACAATGAATAGGGTTTTTTTCCTTTCAGATTACCAAAAATCTAAGAAATTAAAAGCCTAATTCAATTTAGTTAGATGATGTAATTATTTGCAATCCACAAGAATTGAGTATTTTCCCTATAACACTGCTTTTATTTAATGCAAATTTAGACAGAGAAAAAGTGTCTTTCTATCTTCTTTCACTGTGGGAAAATCACTTTGGTAGTTGTGCAAGGACTAAACTAAACTATCAATTCTATAGGCTTACAAAAAGCCAGACTAAGAGAACCAAAGATTGGAAGAACAAGCTTGAAAAATTTAGAATCAGCACATGAAGGTGGGTGCCCAAAACAATGCCTGACTTCACAAAATGAAGCCTGATTCAAGTTTGACAAAATAACTTTGATAAGAGAAAATATACCCACTGATTTTTAACTGTTACTTAACATACGTGCTATTAACTCAAAATGGTGAACTCAGCCTTGACCACTTTCTCTCGAATCCCACCACTGGGACCACCAACAAATTGTGTTAATTCTACTTTCAAATGTCCTAGAAGCCCAGCCTCTTACTTCAGGCACTCCTCTAGCTATTCCTTCTACCTACAGTGTTCTTTGCCCAATTTACCCTTCCTTTAGATAACTGCTCAAATGATGCCTTTCCAATGGCAACCTCCCTACCACACTCTTTAAAGTAGCAAGCTTCAACTCCAACACTCCAGAGCTCATCTTGCTTTATCTTTCTTGATATTATCCTTACAACATAGCATGTGGTGGCACATTTACTTTTCTCTCCAAAATGTAATGTGGACTTGATGAGTGCAGCGATTTGTATTTAATTGATTTTTACTCCTTACTATAGCCTGTAATTAGAACACTCCTGGACCAGAGTAAGTGCTCAGCAAACACTGTATGAAGGAGGTTCCTCTGAGTTTGTGGAATGTCAGTCCTAACAATCATATAACTCTTACAATAAAGGGTTTTTGAAAAGTACAAAATCAAAATTTTTAGTTCTTACATGTTTCTATGGCATTTCTCATAGTCTTCTGAAGAGGAACCTACCAAAGGGGGGAAAATCAGTCCATTAGACATAGAGATAATCCAAAGGCTTATTTCTCTTCAGCATACATAGTGACAGAACTTCTGATTTGATGTTGGACTGTTTTATACTGTTTTTCATATGTGTCTTTTAAATTAGGCAAAGGTACTTTGAAAATATCAAAGTAAAACATAAAAAGTATCATGAAATGTTATGAGATATATAAATATTTGGGTAGTTCTTTATAATCTGAGTATCTTTCACAACTATTACCTCTGGAATTTTATAATAACTAAGTCAGCCAAACACACCAATTTATTTTTTCCCATTTTACATATGTGAAAACAATAACTAGTCAGTTACAAAACCCACCAACTGCCTTATGTATTTAGCTGAATCTATGAGGCACAGTTACAGTAAGAAAGCCTATCTCAAAAACTGAGGTGGACCAGTGAGATGAATAAGGGGCAGACAGCTTGCCAAACATGCACAAGGTCCTAGGTTCAATCTCTAGCACTGTAGACAAAACAGCAGTATTAAAAAAGATTGCACTAGGCTTGGAGAAGCCTCAGTCAGTAAAGTACTTGCCATACATTCACAAGGACTTGAGTTCAATCCCCAGGACCCATGTTGGGGAGGAGAAAACCAGCTCCCAAAAGTGGTCTTCTAATCTTTACAAGTATGTCATGGCACAAATATATGTACAGGCACCTACATCCATACACTAAATAAATGTAGTTTTTAAAATTAGGGGCTGGCAAGATGGTTCATTGGATAAAGGTGCTTGCTGCCAAGGATGACAATATAAATTTGATCCCCAGCACTCCTTCAGGCTGTTCTCTGAACTCTATATGTGCAGTATAGCACATGCAAATGCTCATGCATCATGCATACACACACATGCATACAGACACACAATAAATAAGTAAAATGTAAACAATAAAATAAAAACCCTCATGTAATAAAACTATTATTAGATAATATTTGTAGTTAAAAGCAATTTCAGCTCATAGGTTTAGATTAGAAATCACTTAGGAGAGGAAAAAAGACTTTCATTTTCCAACACAGATGAGGGGTTTCCCTCATGACAGAGAAAAACGAATGTAAAACTCACTCAAAATTGCTGAGAGGTTTGCAAGCTGTGGTGCCTTCTCTATAGTTACTGCTTTACTGGTGTCTAGAAGAGTGGAATTCTTGAGAGACTTGTACTCTTCCAACTTGGGATGCTCCCAATCTAAAAAGCAGAATATGTCATGGTACACACCATACACATGTATGTGCATATGTGTGTGCTAAATAAATAAATGTAATTTCAAAATTTTAAAATGACATAAAACCTTGAAAAGCCTACAAATAACAGGTTGCTCCATGCCCCCAAACTTAGGGTCCTATCCATTCCAGACTATGGTAATTGAAGGTTTTGGACAGAACAGAACACAAGGATTGGTTATGCTGGCATCAAGATAAGAATCTATAGCTTAGTCCAGTTCTCTGTCCTTGCCTGTCTTCTGTCTAGATTTTTGCTTTACAGAGATCACTGAGCTACAGGATGGCAGCACACACATAACTGGCTGACTCTCATATTCTCTGTACTCCTCTCTGTCCATTAAGCCTCATGACAGTGAGCAACATGGTCACACTGCTATTACCTGGTATCCGTTTTAAGCTTTCTATTGACCTTGGCTATGGATGAATGGTGCTATCCCTGTTGCATCCCTGTCTGTACCTTTCTACTGTCCATAGCATACTATTATATCATCAGATATTCTCTTCATGTATGGAGATTGTGGATTGAACCTAGGGCCTCATGCATGCTGGGAAAACATTCTACAATTGAGCTACATCTCTGGACATTTTAGATATTCAATGTTGGTATCATGATAATAAAATTATTTTCTCTGGATTTGTCAAATACAAATGGACCAGACATTGTTTAGGTATTTATTACTTGTATATATTATATATAGTTATTGTACTTTTGTATATAGTTTTTCTTTTGTTAGTTATAACCTTTTTCTTTTTATTAAAATAGAAAAGGGAAAATATGGTGGTATTTTATTTGTACTGAAATGTGATTTTAATTGTATGTTAATAAATAAAGTTGCCCGGGGGTCAGAGCTATTAGAGCCATAGCAAGAGTGTGGTGGTGGTGGCGCACGCCTTTAATCCCAGCACTTGGTAGACAGAGCTAGGTAGATCTCTGTGTGTTCAAGGATACAGCCAGCATTGGAGACACAGGCCTTTAATCTCAATACCAACCATAGAAGACCTGGAAGTCTCTACAGACAGGCAGTGAGGAGGCAGTCATGTGTTTGGGTTTACAACCAATGAGAAGACAGAACAGAAAGACTATATAAAGAGAAACACACAGGAAATAGGTTCCTTTCGGAGAGCTCTCTTGGCTGAAGAGGATCGCTGAAGCAGGAAGGGTAAGGCTCTTAGCTCTGACCTCTTGGCTTTCTTCTCTGAATCGGCTCGGTGTTTCTTATTTAATAAGACGGTTGGTTACATCTACATACTACAAAAATCTTATTCTTCTAGTATACCATGGCAAACTTTTGGTTTTCCTGAATCAATGCCTCCCTATCTCCCCAGATGGTTTACTTTTCTATGTATTTCATCTACTTAATCTTTTTTTTGTTGTTGTTGTTGTTTTTGTTTTTGAGACAGGGTTTCTCTCTGAGTCCTGGCTGTCCTGGAACTCACTCTGTAGACCAGGATGGCCTCAAATTCACAGAGATGTGCCTGCCTCTGCCTCCCAAGTGCTGGAATTAAAGGCATGCACCACCACTGCCTGGCATGACTTCAGAATTTTAGAGAGACTTTTGATATTTTAGAGAGACTGAATATTTCAGAGAAATTCTGAACTTTGAAAGAGACTTTGGATGTTTTTTTTTTTTTTGGTTTTTCGAGACAGGGTTTCTCTGTGTAGCTTTGCGCCTTTCCTGGAACTCACTTGGTAGCCCAGGCTGGCCTCGAACTCACAGAGATCCGCCTGGCTCTGCCTCCCGAGTGCTGGGATTAAAGGTGTGCGCCACCACCGCCCGGCTGACTTTGGATGTTTTAAAGAGATTCAATTTTTATTATTTTTTATTTTTGTTTTTGTTTTTGAGACAGGGACTCTCAATGTAGCCCTGGCTGTCCTGGAACTCACTATGTAGACCAGGCTAGCCTCAAACTCATAGAGATCCACTTGCCTCTGCCTCATGCGAACTAGGATTAAAGGCATGTGCCACCGTGCATGGCAAGAGACTGAACTTTTAAAGTATTTGAATTTTTTTTTTTTTTGGTTTTTTGAGACAGGGTTTCTCTGTGTAGCTTTGCGCCTTTCCTGGAACTCACTTGGTAGTCCAGGCTGGCCTCGAACTCACAGAGATCCACCTGGCTCTGCCTCCCGAGTGCTGGGATTAAAGGCGTGCGCCACCACCGCCCGGCTCAGTATTTGAATTTTTAAAGACTGGGATTTTTAAAAGTTGGAATGTTTTATATTGTGATATTAATATTAACATGCCATCTTGGGGACAAATGACAAAGGAAAGGTTCTAGTTGAATAGTGATGTGTTTGTATGTTATTAAGTTGATAAGGGGTCAATTATGCTAGCTAGTTTTATGTCAACTTGAAACAAGGTAGAGTCATTTGGGAAAAAGGAATCTCAGTTGAGAAAATTTCCCCACTAGACTGGTCTGTAGGAAAGCTTGTGGGACATTTTCTTAATTAAAGATTGATGTGGGAGGGCCCATCTCATTGGTGATGCTGTTACCCATGCACCCAAGGGCCCTGGATGGTATGAGAAATCAGGTTGAGTATGCTAAGAGGAGCAAGCCAGCAAGCATCACTCCTCCATCACTTTTGCCTCCAGGTTCCTCTGCTTTGAGTTCCCAGCCTGACTTCCCTAGATGGACTATAAGCTATAAGATTAAATAAACCCTTTCCTCTACAAGTTGCTTAGTAATGATGTTTATCACAGCAATAGAAAGCTAACTAAGACACTAGCATCATTTGTTGAAGAGGATATCTTTTCTCCAATGTGTATTTTTGGTGTATTTGTCAAAATTAAGGTGTCTGTAGCTGTATAGGCATCTATCTGGGTTCTTTGCTTTATTCCAATGATCTATGTGTTTAAGTGCCAGTACTGTTTCTATTACCACTGTTCTGTAGTTTAGACTTTTAAATAATTATTAATTGAAACTTGGAGTATTCTTCTTCTTCTCCAGGATTGCTTTGGCTACCTAAGATCTTTTGTGCTTCTCCACAATTTTCAGATTGCTTTGTCCTGTAGCTGGGGAGATGGCTTAGTTGATAAAGTGCTTGTTGAGGACTCAAGTTTAATCCCCAGCTTCCTCATAAAAAAGCTGGGCATGGCGACAGCACCTCTAATTCCAGTGCTGAGGATGTAGAAACAGGAAGATCCTGGTGCTTGCTAGCCAGTCTAGAAAGTGGTGAGCTCCAGGTTCAGCGAGATGCCTGGTCTCAAAAAATAAGGTGGAGAGGAAAAAAAATCTACATACATATGAGCACACACACAAACACACAATTGCCTTTTCTATTTCTGGGAAGAATGGAATTGGAATTTTGACTGATATTTCATTGAATCTGCATATTGTTTTTGATAGGATGAACATTTTTACAATATTCATTCTTCCTATCCATGGGTATGAGAGATCTCTCCTTCTGGTATCTTTCTTAGTTTCTTTCTTCAGTGTATTAAACTTTTCATTGTAGAGGTCTTTCACTTTCTTAGTTAGGTTTATTCTAAGGCATTTTATTTTGAGGAAGGATATTGTGAATGGGATTGCTTCCCGGATTATTTGCCTTTGGTATACAGAGAGGTTACTGGGGTATTTTTAATGTTAATTTTCTATCTTGCTACTTTACCAAAAATGTTTATCAGTTCTAAGAATGTTCTAGCAGAATCATTAGGGTCTTATACCTATGGAATCATATCATCTGCAAATAAGGATAACTGAATTTCTTCCTTCCCTAGACATATCCTTGTTATTTCTTTTCTTGTCTTACTTCTTTAGCTAGGATATCAAGTGATATATTGAATAGGAATGAAGAGAGTGGACACTTAGTCATGTTACTGATCTTAGTGGAAATCCTTTAAGTTTTTTTCTTCCATTGAACATGACATCAGCCATAGGTTTCTCATATGTACTCTCTATTATGTGTTATGGGTAGACTGGGTAGTTCTGCTTCAGATGACAGATCTGAAGACCAACTGGAACAGCTCTGTGCAGCTTTCAAGTTACCTACAGTTGATTTTATCTTTACCTATCATTCTTAAGTCTCAGAGCAGTAATAGAAGTTAAGTAGGATATGTATTTTTTTCATGGTTGTAAAAGCATAAAAGGATAAGTTCAACCAATTAAGAACGTTTTCAGGCCTTTATTATGTTTGTTCACAGATACCCTGTTGCCCAAAGCAAGCTCCATAGCTAATCCAAAGAGAAAGAATAAAAAAACTACCACAGAGGAGTCAGTAATTTACATCAACATATCAAAACATCATAGTATCCCTGTTATTAACAGATCCTAGAGTCATCTAATCCATAATACCTCTGATTGAAAACATCCAAAAAGGTAAATCTTCAGAGAATTCCAGCATTTGGGATGTTGAGATGGGAACTCAGGTATAGTTCAAGGCCAGCCTGGGTTACATAGTAAGGCTCTGTCTCAAAGGAGGCTCCCTTTGAGTAGAAAGGAACAGTCACCACAACTGTCACTTAAAAAATGACATCAATGTGCATATATATATATAAAACTGTAGAAACATTAACATATAACTGTATAAAACATATGTATATAACTGTACAAACATTAGTCCACATTAGTTTGTACAGTTAGACACACATGTGACATGTTCATGTTCATACGTGCTGTGCTGTCGTCACGCTTCCCTCCCTTTTTAAGCCCTCCCTCTCTCCCTCCTCCACTAGGTCTCCCTTGCTCTAGATTCTCCTCTTCTACTTTCAAGTCACTTTTCTGTTTTGTTTCAACATATGAGAGAAAATACACAATACTTGTCTTTTTGTGTCTGGCTCAGGATTCATGCTTTCTTCTTTCCAATTCAATGTGTCTTTATGAGTTTGTTTTTGAAAAGAAAGGAGCACTTTCTGTTGTTGCAGGGAGTTGTAGAGAAAAGCCTATGTTCTCTTTCATCCATCAACCAAAGGTTCTATTTATAATAAATAATAAATGTAAATAATTGTGAAAAAAACTCAAGCAGGGATTTGGTCTACTTCACATGTTATATACTGAAGAGTAAGAAAACTACATGTATTAAAAGAAAACAGATAGAAGTGCACCAAGATGGCATGTATATTTAAAGAACAAATACGCCTTCACCTTCACTATGTACAAATGTGTTCACTGTAAGATTTATGGACAAAGCAACACTTCTACAGCACAGCCAATTAAGGAGGCAATCATATTCTCACCCAAACAGTCTGAGCCTCTGAACAGCTCAGGTGATGAGAAGCTACTTCTACTCTCTTCAGTCGTCCTTGTATACGAGTCTGTGTCTGAACAACTCAGGGGCCAACTGGAAACATCATGCTCCGAAGTCAGACCTGCAAAATAAAGTGAAACAAAAAGAGTTGAATGGAAACAGAACAAAATTGAAATCCCAACAATGCACATCTGTAGAAATGTGCCTGTAGTTATATAGCAAGATTTTAACATTGACTTCGCACACAATTAGAAAGTCATAATAGTATGAATAATTTTGATTTAAATCTTAGATAAATAAATGCTTTGATGTTGATAAACACATTATAATCCTTTTTGACTGTTTCCCTAAGTTGTACTTTTATGGCCTACCCCTTATTCAATTCAGCTGTAATTCTAGCTCAAAAATTCAAGTTCTATATATAAGTAATTCACTAGCTAAGAAGAAAAAAAGGATGAATCCGGTTATTCCATCCAAAAAAAGGACAGACAAAAATAACACAGAATGAAAAACAGATGAACAAAAGACTGAATAGACATCCCAGAAATACTTACCTGTATGTGCACAACTGATTTTTATGAAGACATGTAAGAAGTTTAATGAAGAAAGGATTGTCTTTTAAGCAAATTGTGTTAGAATAACTCCATATGCATATGTAAAACCAAAACAAAGGTTGGGTGTGTGACTTTGCAGTAGAATACTTGCCAGCATGTGTGAATCCCTAGGCTCAATCCCTATCACAACAAAAGCCCTTCATCCCCAAAAACAAAACAACACTTGAGCTGAAGAGATGGCTTGGCAGTTAAGAACACTTGCTTTTCTTGCAGATGACCTGGATTTGGTCCTAGCACCTGTACAGAAACTTACAACCATCTGTAACTCCATTTCCAAGGAATCTGAGACATTCTCCTGGCCTCCTTGAGTACCAGGCACACATGTGGTACATATACATACATGTAGACACATTCACACACATACAAATAAATAAAAAAAACTTAAAATGTACACCATACTCGAAGAAACTAACACTAAGGTAGGCATGTTGGTACATGCTTCATGAAGTAGGGTTATAGTTCTACCTACTCAGGAGGCTAAGGCAGGGAAATCTATCCGGGCTATAGAATCTAAGGCCAGCCTGGGCAACTTAGTGAGACATTTCCTTAAAATAAAAAGTATAAAAGACATCTGAGAGGAAGACAATGCAAAAGTGACAAGGCCACATCGAAAGCCAATCCTTAGAGAAACTCAGACTGCTCTGCCAGCAACAACAGAACAATTAAGCACTATTACACACACACACACACACACACACACACACACACACACACACCCCTACCCTGAGAACCATGTGAACACAGGAGCCGACCTGGATACAAACTTGGGGACACAAACACACTTAAGTAAAGACTACACACAATCCACTGGTGAAAAGGTGAGCTCAGATACTATCCAGTTGAAAAGGCTAATACAAGCACACACAGTATACAACCCTTATAGCTTGTCCTCATTCCTATTTTACTTCCCTCTCCCCACTTCCTCTTTACTATTTTTTTTTTTTAATTTGAGACAGGCTCTTACTATGCAGCCCTGACTGTCTTGGAACTCACTATGTAGACTAGTCTGTCCTGAAACTCAGTGATCCTACCTCTGCCTCCTGAGTGATGGGATTAAAAGTGTGCTCCACCATGTGTGGCTTCTTTTTACTTTTCATTATTAATAAGTTTAACTTTAAATTATTTGCTTATTTTTTCAGTCTCCTAGCCTCTTAGTGAGAATGTAGGCAAAGTATCCAATTGCTTTTTGTTACATTTTAGTATCTGGTTTGTTGTCAAATCATTTTTTCTGTTACAGTTGTCTGCTTCTCCCCTATCAATGATAGTGGGGAATCGTTAGCCTAGGAAAAGACTACCCACGAAGAAGATCCAATGAAACAGAACAATGAATATGGAAAAAACAAACAAAACCAAAAAAAAAAAAACCACCCAACAACACTGGAAAGACTCATCCATTGTGTCAGACACACAAACAACACAGAACACATACAAAATGAACAAGCCAATACAGCACCTTCAAAAGCTAACAACTCCTCAGTAACTAAAATCGGAGATAGTGAACTAGGCAAAAAGCTAAACAAATAACTCAAAAGCCTACTTTTAAAATGTTTAACTTCGCCAGGCAGTGGTGGCGCATGCCTTTAATCCCAGCACTCGGGAGGCAGAGCCAGGCGGATCTCTGTGAGTTCGAGGCCAGCCTGGTCTACAAAGTGAGTTCCAGGAAAGGTGCAAAACTACAGAGAAACCCTGACTCGAAAAAAAAAAAAAAAAAAAATGTTTAACTTCAAAGAGTATTCATGAAGTATTCAACGACTAGATGATGAAGCAGTCAGGGCCTAGATAAGAAAGCCAGCAACAAGAGTGAGAGACTCACTAACATGACAGAGAAACTCAGCAAGGAAACAGAAATTCTGAAGAAAAAACAACAGAAACACTGCAAATTAAAGAGTTCATTCATTACATTAAAAACACAGTGAAAAGCATCATCAATAGACTAGATCAAGCACAAGAAAGAATATCAGATATCAAAGATGAGGTTGAGGATATACTATACTCAGAGAAAGAAAACCATAAGGGTGTCTATAAACACCCAAGAATTCTGGGACATGATCAAGCAAGACACCAAATCTAAAAATCCAGGAAGTAGAAGGGTAGGAACTGAGATAATAGCCAAAGACACAGAAAACTAATGAAATCACAGTAAGATTATTCTAAAAGTAGTCACTTTGGAACTTCAGTGCTGGCCAGCCAGCTTACAAGCATGCCTCTTTCCCAAGCCACAATCCTGTCACTGCTAGCCCAATCCATTTAGGGTCTCTTCCCTGCTACAAGACAAGGAAGCGTGAGACAGAGCTGTACTTAACAGGACTTTAGCCAACAAGTATGAAGTGGCAGTTGGTTCCTCTGCTCTTCAGACAGTCAACACAGCAGAAAAGCCAAATGACTCTTTGTGATACTCCTCTTTGCCACAACATTCCTCTAGGAATTCCTGAAGTTCTGCTTCAGGAAACCCATTTTGCTCATATTCCTTAATGGCATCATAAGAATCTGCAGCAAGTGGAATCATAGAAAAGGCTAGGGGTAGGAGCTGTAAGTACAGACAGCTAAACAATCACACTGAGATGTTCTTTCTGATGGATCTGAGCAAGGGCTGGAGAAGGCTAGCCAGTACCACACACATGCTGCATTTTCTTCTTTACCAAAAGATTTAGAAACACGTTTTATAACTTACATTAATAACAATGGCTCTTGTGCACAGCACATGAGAAGTCAAGAAAATCCCATTAAAAATGCATCAAACAGCAGGACATGCTAAAGCGTTTTCTCAATGAATCTAGATACTTTCAAGTCTTTATATTTCTAGATGTTGGCACTAATGTCAAAATCGATTTTGATTTTGCCTCTGTGAACTTTCTTGTCAAAGGAATCAATCATATTATGAAAGACCTAACAATCTGGTAACTCATGGGAAGAAATTATCTATAGGTCAGTGTCTTTGAGGTAAAACTTTCTATTTGTAGGAGACAATAAAATTCCAGTCTGAAGAATGAATGAGCCCAGTAATGAAGGTGCATTGAGAAGTCTAAGTAAGAGCAGCCTATGTCACCATCACTGTCAATTATTCAGGGTCTCATTAGAAGAAAACATGGGCCCTTTCTTTTAGTGCTGCTTATAGGTTTTAAGCCAATTCTATTGTCTTAATTTTGTCAATAATCGTCACCACGGAAATTTTCATTAGATGGTGATACTGGTTGAAAAAGCAAAAAAGATACTGTCATTAAGTGTCTTCTTGAGTATGTATAATGCACATGTGCAGACTCATGTTTTATGTTAACTTGACACATGCTAAAGTCATCACAGAAAAGGGAGCTCAACTGAGAAAATGCCCCCATAAGATTGGCCTGTAGGCATTTCCTTAATTAGTGACTGATGTGTGAGGGTCCAGCCCATTGTGGGTGGGGCCATTCCTGGGCTGATAGTCTTGAGTTCTATAAGAAAGCAGGCTAAGCAGGCTGAGCAAGCCATGTAAGCAGCACTCTTTCATGGCCTCTGCATCAGCTCCACCCTCAAGGATTTCATTTAAGTTCCTGTCCTGACTTCCTTCAATGATGAACAGTGATGGAAAGCATACTCCTAATAAGTCCTTTCCTCTCCCAACTTGGTTTTGTCATGTTGTTTCATCACAGCAATAGTAGCTCTAACTAGGGCAGTCATCTTCATCTACACCAGCATATTCTCTCACAAGCCAAGTATTTAAAAGCAACAGTATTCTCTTCTTTGAAAGCAACCACCACTGATTAAACCAACTTCAACAAGTGATGTGGTGACTACAGCTATTTTGAAAATCTACAAACCCAGTTTCCATAGAATCTGGTATCTGGCTTGGGATCTCTGTGAGTTCAAGGCCAGCCTGGGCTACCAAGTGAGTTCCAGGAAAGGCTCCAAAGCTACACAGAGAAACCCTGTCTCGAAAAACAACAAAAAAAAGAAGAAGCAAAACTTCAGATTTTCTCTTAAATCCTCTCATCTCAGAATCAAGAGGCACCATTGCATTTCTATGTCACTCCGGGCCCACTAGGGCCAAAACTTGGTTCCACACTAGCAGGTCCACCCCTCAAGGCATGATTCAGCTCCAAGTTGCAGGAGGATGATTCTATCCACATGTCAGCTGCACCTGCCTCTGTCCTGAGCTTACTTGCTCTGGTCCTGGTGTCCAGCAGTGTGCCCTACCATGACTCTTTCAGCTCTGGGTGCCAGGAAGGCCTGCAGGAAGACCTTTGTACATACTGTTTCTTTTGTATGGATTTCTCTTTACCATCTTTTTGCATAGCTGATTTCTATTCACCTTCAGATCTCAATTCAATTGACACCCTCACATGGAAGCATTTCCTAATATTTCTAGCTAGGCATAATTAATTACATTCAAGTCATTCTCTTTTGTAATGTGCCACAACTATAACCACATTTACTGATGTAAACATGTCAGCATGGAGAATGAGGTACAGAACACAGTCAGAAGGATTCATGCTAGACTAGGGGAGAGACATCTTCTCTTCCACTGAAATAAGAAGTCAAGAGATACAAATGAGTGCATATGCTTGGAGAAAAGACAAAGAGCTGTTATCTGTTAGTCTTACCTGAAACGAGTTCACTGCCGGATGAACAGCTGTCAATCTCGAAGTCATGAGTCACTGACTCCTATGTGGAATAAGAATGAAAGGTATGGCACAAATTGTGAGATGGCTATTTTAATTTGACTTTTTGATGTTTGATTTGTTTTGAAAAATGAGTGTATCAGAATATTGAGCACAGATATCTGCTATTTAATATTAAATCCAAAAATAAATATTAAATTACTATGAATAAACATGTGGAACTAGCAATAATCAACTCACTATTATGAGATAAAATAGTAAAGAGAAGGTGAATATTTTTCTGATCACCTAGGAAGGAAAGAAGGACTTTTCCTCCACCTTTAAATAAAGAGCAAAATAAATCAGAAGAAAAAATGATATAGAAGTCTAAAATAATAAAATTAAAGACTCATAAGTCAATGAAAATATTTGCTGTGTGTGTAAAACTATCTTCAGTATATAATGAAGAGATATTTCACAGCAGAAGAAACACAAATGGACAATAATGAGAAAAAAGTACAACTTCATTAGCATTCAAAGAAATGGAAAATAAAATAGCATGCAGCTTTTCATCTCTCTTCATTTTGAGTTAGAGTGTGCCAGTTTGCCAACATGAATCACAAAGTGTCAAACACATCCACCCTCTGGCCTACTGCAAAGTATTTGTCTTAAGTAACAACCTAAAATGCACACACAATCCTGTAGAAGTATGTCTATCAATGTCCACAAAAGCAAAATCTTGGAAATTCGGTCTCCCAATCTCCAGAAAATAGTCATACACATTTTAGTATATCTGTTAGATAAAACACTATGAAGACACTAAAATATTATAAATACTTTAAGACTACTTAATAACATGGTAATACGTAAGTCATAAAATGTTTTTAAAGCACAGAAAAAAAATACAGCAATTTGAAGAAAGTTTTATATACTATTTTGAATATTTAAATTATCTCCACCAAATACTTAACCACATACTGTGAAAACATGATGTAAAAAAAATCGTTTTTTAAATGTCATAAGTGAAAGTGCCATCTCCTAAACACAGGCCTGGTGGGCTGAGGCGGAAGGACAGTGAGCTTATAGCTAGGTTCGGCTATGGAGTGAGGTCCTGTCTCAAAAAGTTAGATTATAATACAAGAATATTAGAATGCACTGTCGCATACTGAATCCTTAGTGATCAATCATGTTTCTAGTTGCTAATGGACAAAGTCAAGTGGAAAACAGGAAAATGACTTTATACATTTGAATACACAAAATAGAACGTTCATAAGTAACATTTCCCCACTCCTCACTAAGAGATATGAAAAACATGGAAGTACAAAATTATGAACCTACTTAAGTGAGAAGCCCAAGGGCTCCCTAGGCAAAGACACATATAACAATGTAATAAAAATACTAGAAACTGCCGGGCGGTGGTGGCGCATGCCTTTAATCCCAGCACTCGGGAGGCAGAGCCAGGTGGATCTCTGTGAGTTCGAGGCCAGCCTGGGCTACCAAGTGAGTCCCAGGAAAGGCGCAAAGCTACACAGAGAAACCCTGTCTCGAAAAACCAAAAAAAAAAAAAAAAATACTAGAAACTATTAGATATCTATGAACAAAGATGACTTCATTCTTTTATCCGGAGGTGTGTCTACTGCCTGTCTCTACCCTCCGTGTATGTAAGAAGCAGAGGAGGAACATACATACACTCAACAGAGCTTTCTTCTCATCTGGGGTCTCTTTGCCAGGGCTATCATTTTCTTGCAGGCTTTCCTCTCCTGTAACACTTAACTGACTGCAAAGAAACAAAACAGTTAGGTTTACAGCATCGGGATTTGACTATGTCCTTTTGTAGTTTAAAATCTGAAAGTCCCTTTAAGGAGGTCTTGGAGAACTGACTAGGAGATTTGCACCAAAAGCTGAATGATGCTACAGTTGCTTTCCTTAGAGGTTTTGTTTCACTTTTAAGTAACTCGGCAAGCCTTCCATTAATGAAACGAATCTGTCTGGGCTGGGGGCTGTAGCTCAGTTGGTAGAGGCCCTCAAACCGAAGCATAATGACACAAATCTGTAATCCCAGATTTGGGAAATCTGTTAAGGTCAATCTCTGCTACATGGGGAATTTGAAGCCAGGCTGGGCTACATGAGATTCCCGTCATTCATAAATATATATGTGTGTGCTATCTGTAAATGCATATATAACATAACACACACATACATGTGAGAAAAAGACATATACGAGAATGTGTGCGCACCCCACCCCCACCCCCCAAATTTCTGGGTCTGTGTTTTCAGAGCAGAACCAGAGCATTCATTTTCTCCTTTGATTCCTCGAATGAGAGGCTACTAAGCAGAAGCAACACTCAAAACCTGTCAATGCCAAGTTGCTCAGGGCTGTTATCCCAGGCGACCCACCTCGGCAGCTGTGAGCTGCTGCCTCTGGGCCTGTTCAATTCCTCTTTCTCAGCAATCTTCCGCAATCCCTTCAGACCTGCGAGAGGGTGCCACGTTTCAGGGGAGCTGCTCGTGCCCCCACTCAACCCCGGCCGAGGCCCACCCGCCACCCAGGCCTGCTGATTCGACCTGGCGGCGGCGCCTCTGTCTTCCCCGGGAGGGCTAGGTCCGGCTTCGGGGTGAGGTTGAGCCTCTCACCAGCCCTCTTCTTGCGGGGATAGACCCGTCGAGGCCACATGGCCACTCCACCCAAGCGGGAGGGCCCCACACGCCCCATCTTGTCCATCGCCTTCTTGAGGAACTGACCAGCCACAGAGCGACGCCCTGCCCTAGCCGCCCGCCTCAGTACTACTTTCTATAGTCGCAAAGGCTTCTGGGAAGATGGTGGACAGCTCCGGCTACGCCCTATTGAGGGCAAAGCCAAGCCTGGGCTATGAGGATTGCCTCTGGACTCAAGCTCCTTAAATTTTAAATGCACGTGCATGCACGCGCGCACACACACACACACACACACACACACACGCACACACGCACACACGCACACACGCACACACGCACGCACACACACGCACACACGCACATGTACCGGCATCCAGCAGGTCATTGCTTTTAGTCAGAATGACCCAACACCTGTTACTCATGCCTTGCTGTTCTGAGCACTGCATGGGACACTAGCTCTGGAGTTTTTGGGTCTCTGAGCTCAGGGAATGAGAATGGGAGCCTAGCCTTAGTCAATGCAGGAAGACAAGGGGCAGATTTGTTAGAGATAGCTCCATCTGATAAGCATATTGAGCATGTGGCAACCACCTTTTATTCCTTTAAAAAAAAACGCAGCATTTGACATTGCTGAAATGGAGTCTGTAGAGAGGACATTAGGAAGAGCTTGAAGGCTTTTCTGTGGCTCCTCAATGTTGTGCGTGTGCCTATGCAGATGAGTATGCATGTGTGTGGAGGTCAGAGGACTTTCTTTTTTTTTTTTGGTTTTTCGAGACAGGGTTTCTCTGTGTAGCTTTGCGCCTTTCCTGGAACTCGCTTTGGAGACCAGGCTGGCCTCGAACTCACAGAGATCCGCCTGGCTCTGCCTCCCGAGTGCTGGGATTGAAGGCGTGCGCCACCACCGCCCGGCCAGAGGACTTTCTTAACCTCCACTGTTTTGGTTGTGTTTGGAGATTCAGTCTGTTAGTGAACCTGGAGCTCGCTGATTTGACTAGACTGCCCAGCCGGCAAGCTCCAGGCATCTTTGTGTCTCTACCTCTCCAGCAAGGTGCTTACAGATGCACACTGCCCTGTCAGCTTTTTAAAGTAGGTGCAGGGGATCTGAACTTAGGTCCTCATGCTTGGGTTGAAAGCACTTTACCAGCTGGGCCATCTCTCATCCTGAGACTCCAATAGTATGTATGTGAATACAGACTGAATTTTCATAATAAAATTACACTGAATTTCACAACTGAAAATCGGCTCATGGAAACATTTATGGCAATCTATTACTCATCAAAATGTAACTTTGTAAAGAGCAGTGGGATCTTTATGGGCATTCTTGCCTGCTTAGATATATTGGTGCTTTGAGTATTGGCTGAATACCTTAACATCGGGTCCTTCAGTCAAGGGTCTCACAGTCATGCTGCACTCTGAGCAGTAATCACAGTTCACCATTCTTTCCTGAGTCACACCCATAACATGCAATCAGATACCAAGTCTCTTGGCTCCTCTCATTGCTTTGAGGGACTTTTGTGAAAATGACTTTCAACCCACTGCAGTTCTTAAATGATTTGTGGGAGCCCTGGAACTTGGGAGCAACTAGATCTGGAAATGTAAAAAACACTGAAAGCAAAACCAGCTTAAATCAGAAGCCTGTCTGCGCTTGGTGATCCTGTTCCCTAAATGGTTTCTGTTTGTTTGAGACAGGGTTGGTTATCCGGGGCGCACCTGGAACTCACAATGTAGGTCACCTGCCTCTACCTCCTCAGTGCTGGGACTAAAGGCATGCACCACCGTGCCCAGATCCCTAAGGGTCATTTTTTCCTCCAAATACAGTTTCATATAAGGCCAGGCTAGTATCTAATTGCTGTGTAGCCAAGAATTACCATAAAGTTCTGATCTTCCTGGATCTACCTCCTAAGTGCTGGAATGACTGGCAGGTGCCCTCATGCCTAGTTATATGTGGTGCCTGGAATCAAACACAAGGCCTGGTGCATGCTAGGCAAGCACTCTACTGAGATAGTGACCCATTTCCCCTACCCCAATGAAAGCATTCACCCATGTGCCAACAAGTAAAGACTTTTAGGAACTAGGACCAATGAGATGCCTTAACAGGTAAAAGCACTTGTCTTGGGGTCTAGAGAGACGGTTCAGTGGCTAAGAGTGCTTCCTGATATTGCAGAAGACCTGGGTTCACTTCCCAGCACTCACATGGAGGATTAGAGTAATCTATATCTCTAATTCCAGGAGATCTAATACCTTCTTTTGGCTCCCGTGGGACACATACATACACACAGACAGAACTCTCATACACATAAAATTTTTAAAAATCCTTTAAAAGCACTTTTCATGCAAAATTGACAACTTAATTCCATTCCCAGAACCCATAGTAGAAGGAAAAAAAACCAATTCATAAAAGGTGTTCTCTGGGGACTGAAGAGGTGGCTCAATGGTTATGAGCTCTGGCTGCTCTTGCAGAGGACCCAGGTTCAATTCCCAGCACCCATATGGATGCTCATAAATATCTATCACTCCAGTCTTGGGGGGGTTCCATGCCCTCTTCTGGCTTTCCTGGGCACCAGACATTCATATACAAAATGAAAAAAGGTTTTTTTTTTAATTACCCTCTTACCTTCACATGCATCGAGGCATCTAGGCACCACAATCACACACTTTGCAGCTGAAGAAATCATGTCCTAGGAAAACTCACGAAGGCAGGTGGGTGGCACAGGTGGCATAGCTGCCTGGGCATTTGTCTAGCAAGCTGGTCCTGCTTTCATCCCTCTTAATGGGGAGGGGAAGAGGCAAGAGGAGTAAGGAGAGGTGCTTGAGCCCTTAGCGGTAAAGGGAAGGGAAAAGACTGGAGACAGAATGGTCTGTTTACAGCTTCACCTAGCATCACCTTGTAAAAAGAAAGAGAAGCACTGGAGATAGGCTGCTGGATAAGAACTCTGCTTATTCTCCTGGAAGACCAGGGTTTGCTTCAAAGCACGCCGCTGTAACTCCAGTTCCAGAGGATCGGACGCCCTCTTTTGGCTTCCTTGGGCACTGCACACAGGTGGTGCACAGACTTACACCGGAGTAGTACGAGACATCAAAATATCAAATAATCCAATTAAAACATGGGGTGCAGATCTAAACGGAGAATTCTCAACAGAAGAATCTCAAATGGCCAAAAGACATTTAAGGATGGTTCAACACCCTTGGCCATCAGAGAAATGCAAATCAAACTGACTCTGAGATACCATCTTCCACCTGTCAGAATGGCTAAGATCCAAAACACCGATGACAGCTTATGTTGGAGAGGATTTGGAGAAAGGGGAACACTCCTCCATCCCTGGTGGGAATGTAATCTTGTGCAGCCACTCTAGAAATCAGTATGGCAGTATCTCAGAAAATTGAGAATCAACCTACTTCAAGACCCAGCAATACCACTCTTGGGCATATACACAAAAGATGCTCAAGCACACCACGAGAACATAGCTCAGCTATGTTCAGACCAGCGTTATTCATGAAATAAAATAATTTGGGGGGGATGTTTCAAGATAAGGTTTCTCTGTGTTGTTTTGGTGCCAATCCTGGATCTTGCTCTGTAGACCAGACTGGCCCCGAACTCACAGAGATCCGCCTGGCTCTGGGATTAAAAGTGTGCACCACCACCGCCTGGCTGAAATAAAATAATTTTTAAGGGAAAAGAATCAAGTGTCCCACAACAAAGTGAGGTAGGCAGAGGCATCTCAATTCAGTCATCTCTCTCTCTCTTCTCCATCCCCAAATACAAACAGCCTGTGCAAGTATTCACAAATGAGGCTTAATTTGAACTTCTTCCACTTGCCCGTTTTACTGTTCCCACCATAGACCCAGAGCACTGGCCATGTTCAAGTTCAACATATGATGAGTCAGACTAGATTTGAAAAGTCAGAGACATGAATTTCCATGGGGAAACAAGTTTCAAATGTTGATGAGTTTTTTTTTTTTAAACAGTCTGTGGAATTTGGAATTCTTGAAATCCAAAGAAAATCTTATGGAATAATCTCTTTGTGTGTGTGTGTGTGTGTGTGTGTGTGTGTGTGTGTGTGTGTGTGTGTGTGTGTGTGTTTTTATTTGAAAGGCTTTGCTTACAGTGACATCCGTGGGTGTCAGGGATCTAAATGAAAGCTAGTTTAGACATGCTTAGATTACAAGAATGGAAGAAATAACAAAGATAGATAAAAGATAGCTTCAGATATTGCAGTCATAATTCAGTGAAACATACAAAGAATAGCCAAGGGGATTTCCCTTTAACAGACATTTCTTGAGCAGCTACTGGAGGCTACAATTTTTGCACTGAAACTAAAACCAGAAGCAACTGTCCCGGTGGGGATGTAGCAAAGAGACCATCAATCAATGAATCACTTGGAAAGCTTTTAAGCTCGGAGCTTACTTTTGCTTTGTTTTGTTTAAATATTAATATGCCTGTGCCTGGGTGAGTTTTATTTGTACCATGTGCATGCAGGAAAGTGTGGAGGCCAGAACAGGGCATCAGATCCCCTGGAACTGGAGTGATGAGCACTGGAATTGTGAGCCATGATATGGGTACTTGGAACCAACTCCCAGCCCTCTGTAAGAGTACTAAGTACTCTTAACCACTCAGCTATCTCTCCAGTCCTAAAACTGAGTTTTCAAAGGAAAATGGCAGAAGTTGGGGGTGGGGGGGCGATTAAAAAAAAGGGCAAGGCATAGATGCAGAGGGAGAGTCATTGGTGTGACTGGAGTTGAGGCTCCATGAGGAAGTGCCAGAGGACACACTAGTCTTTGTGTACTGAGGCAGGGAGTCGGAACTTCATTCAAAGAAACAATGAGAAGGAAATGTCATGACCAGATATTTTCAATGTAGGAAGATGTCATGACGAAATCTGGGAAAGTGGAGTGGGACCATGAAGACTGTTTTAAGAAAGCACTGTACTATTTCAAACCAACAACAAGGGTGGCTTAAACAATACAGATAGCTGTGAGACTGGAGAGGAGCAGATAAGAGCAAATACTCGAAGGCAGAATCTG